TTTTTTTGGGTCCGGTCGTGGGGCCTGAACTCTGGGCCTGGGCGCTGTCCCTCAGCTCTTCAGCTCAAGGCTAGCGCTCTACCACTTGAGCCACAATGCCACTTCCAGCTTTTTTCTTTTTATGTGGTGCTGAGGAATTGAACCCAGGGCCTCATACATGGAAGGCAAGTGCTCTACCACTGAGCCACCTTCCCAGCCAAATGTTCATCCTTGTCAGAAGAAATCATCCTTGCTGAAGACAGCAACAATGCATTTATGCTCTCATATATATTTCATTACTGCCGTTTCATTATCATACATACTTGCATGGTATCATCCTTTCTCTTTTTTTCAGTGTAAAAATAAAGAGCAAGTGTATGGTAAAATATAATTATTCATGAAGGATCTATCCCTATTCTCAGAAACAGTTTTACATGGGTCACCTGGATTCCAGTTCTAAATGTCTCTTTCCTTTTGCATTTTCCCCAAGACATAAAGTTTCCTGAAGCTAAAATACTGCTCAGGGTTATGTTTAGGGACTAAAAGACCCCTGAAACTTCAGCTCCCTCTTTAGGAGAGAACAAGACCAGCTGCTACCTAATAAGTATCCTCCAACTGTTCCTCAGCTTTCACAGACTACATATGGACAATGTGTTTAGCCAGACTGGGAATGTGGCTTAGTAGTAGAATGCTTGTCTAGCATGCATGAAGCCCTGGGTTTGTTTCCTCAGTACCACATAAACAGAAAAAGCTGAAAGTGGCACTGTAGCTCAAGTGGTAGAGTGCTAGCCATGAGCAAAAGAGGCTCAGGGACAGTGCCTAGGCTCTGAGTTCAAGCTCCAGGACTGGGAATAAAAAAGAAAGAAAAAAAGCAAAGGAAAGGAAAGAAAATGTAGAGCTGGGCACTGGTGGCTCACGCCTATAATCCTAGTTACTCTGGAGGCTGAGATCTGAGGGTCACGGTTCAAAGCTAGCCTGGGCAGGAAAGTCTGTGAGACTCTTATATCCAATAAAGCACTAGAAAACTGGAAGTGGCACTGTGGTTCAAGTGGTAGAATGCTTGCCTTGAGCTGAAGAGCTGAGGGACAGCGCCCAGGCCTAAGTTCAGCCCCAATGACCAACAACAACAACAACAAAAACAAAAAATGTGTGTAGCAAACTTGTATGGGTTGGAGGTCAAGTTTTACATTGAAACACTGTAACTGCTAGTCAGGGGTGGTGGCACATGCCTGTAATTCCAGGTATTCAGGAGGCTGAGGTCTGAGGATTGTGGTTTGAAGCTTGCATGGGCAGGAAAGTCTGTGAGACTCTTATCTCCAAAAAGCTGGAAGCTGTGGCTTAAGTGGTAAAGAGCCATTCTTTAGCAAAAAGAATTAGGAGATAGCACCTAAGCCCTGAGTTCAAGTCTCAGTGCTGTACACACACACATACTCACACATACAAAAAGTAACAGGTAAAAGTGTGAGGATAAACAGATTTGCATAGTGTCAAAGTATCTTTCCTTAAGACAGTTATTAACTACAAAGGGAAAACGGTAGCTTTATAGTGTAGAAACACAGCCAACATCATCTTCACCAAGTGGCCCAAGTTATCATCAGTAGAGTAAGGCATACTGACGGTGTATGCATCTTTATATGAGGCCCTGAGAAGGTCATGGCACTCTTCTGGTGCCATTCTCACCCAAATGCATAATCTTGATTGAACTTTAGAAAACCATCAGACAAACCCAGATTGAAAGACATGCTACAAAGTCACTGAGCAGCCCTCTCAAACATGTCAAGGTCACAAAGGACAAAGAATCACTGAGTAGCTGTTAGGTGTTAGAAGTGAATAAAGAAACAGGAGAACCAGGAGCTGGGAAGATGGCTCAGTGGTAGAGCGCTTGCCTTGCATGCATGAGGCCCTGGGTTCGATTCCTTGGCACCACATAAGCAGAAAAAGCAGGACGTGGTGCTGTGGCTCAAGTGATACAGTGTTCAGGCCCCATGACTGACAAAAGAAAAGAAAAAGAAACAAGAGAACCAAACATAATAGGATCCAGGCACAGGTGACAAGCTGGAGAAAAACACAATTTGAACAAAGGCTGTAGTTTAGTTAATCATTTCTTGGTTTTGATAACTGTATTATGAGTATGCAAGATTATCATGGGTGAAGTTGGTATATGAGCTCTCTGAACTATTTTTGCACCTCCATTTACTTATCTTGAGTGTATTAGGGCCAGTTTCCTGTTCTTTGTAGCTCTTGCTATAGTTACAACAAATCTGTTCCCCAGTCCTGGGCAACCCTTGGTCTGTCCTCATCTTTCACTCTGCCCCAATTTCCCAAACTGTGCCACCATGTTCCTAGCACAATGGTCACGGTCAATGCTTGTCACATGATTTGTTGGTAATGCTGCCAGTACCAACAAATAGCCCTACAAATAAAGACTCAGCCTATTTGAGGACCTAGCTCTCTGCTGAGGACAGGTGGTTCTGGGGGCAGGGCTGTCAAATGCTCAGGACTTTTTCTCTGACAGCCCTCCTATCGTTGGGCCTAGAGGTAGGGGAAACATTCTGCTATGTTCCTGACCATTCTCCCATCCTCCCTAGAAGGCTTCATCTTTGATTTGCCATGTTATTAGATGACATTGCTACTGCACACATTTTCTGACATTGGAAATATACAAAAACAAAAACTCCTTAAAAAGGATCTTTACCCAAGAAAATTCCTTGAAAAAAACTGTCTATACTTACTGTCTCCAACTTATCTCTCCCATTCCCTGTTAAACCTAATCCGTATCAAAGCTTCCTGTTTCTAATACCTACTCCAAATATTCCCACTAAGCCAGGTGCTGGTGGTTCATGCTTGTAATCCTAGCTACTCAGGAAGCTGAGATCTGAGGACTGTGGTTCAAAGCCAGCCCAGGCAGGAAAGTCCATCAGACTCTTATTTCCAATTAATCACAGGAAAAAGCCAGAAGTGGCACTGTGGCTAGTGGAGTGCTAGCCTTAAGCCAAAGGAGCTCAGGGACAGAGCCTAGGCCCAGAGTTCAAGCCCTAGGACCGGCAAAAGCAAAATAACAAAACTTGATGTAAAGCTGTGGCACAAGTGGTAAAGCCCTAGCCTGAGCAAACAAACTCAGGGACAGCGTCCAGGCCCTGAGTTCAAGCCCCAGAGAACTAGAACAACAACAACAACAACAACAACAAAGTTACAAAAGTACTACTACTGTGATCCCCTAGTCCCTAGTCACATGTCCAAGCAATCCTCATATCCGTCAGCACATGAACCAGTGGTCCAGGATTGCTCCATGTGCTTTCTTCCCATAGCTTCCAGAGATCTGCTCCTCCTGAGCTCCTCTTACTTTCCTCCTTCCCTGTCTCCACCCACTCAGTGTTGGAACAGTTCAGAACATGCTCACGCTCCAGTTTCACAACTGGAAGCAAGATCCTTTCCAGTAGTACTCAGAATTTCCTGTGGGGTTTGTTACAACACAGGATTCAGAGAATCTGAGGATGGGCTCTAGAATGTGTTGTGCTGTTCTTTTCTTCTCTTCCTTCCTTCCTCTTTTTCTCTTTATTGTATGTGTGTGTGTGTGTGTGTGTGTGTGTGTGTATGTGCACATGTGCATGCACTAGTCCTGGGCATTGTCCCTCAACTTTTTTGCTCAAGTCTAGTGCTTTATCACTTGAGACAAATCTCTGCTTGGTCTTCATCTGGCCTTCTGGTGATTAACTGGAGATAAGAGTCTCACGTACTTCCCAGCCTGGGCTGGCTTCCAACCATACTCCTCACATCTCAGTCTCCTGAGAAGCTAGGACTGTAAGTATGAACCATCAACACCTTGCTTTATTTTCTTTTCTCTTTTTGTCAGTCGTGGGACTTGAACTCAGGGCCTGTGTGCTATCTCTTGAGTTTTTTTCCACTCAAAGTTAGCACTCTACTACTTTGAGCCACAGTACTACTTCCTGCTTTCTAGTTTTAAATGGTGATGAGTTTCACGGACTTTCCTGTCTGTCTGGCTTCAAATCACGATCCTCAGATCTCAGTCTCCTGTGTAAGTAGAATTACAGGTGTAAGCCACCGGTACCTGGCTTTATTTTCTTTGATATAAGTCTTGCTATATAACCCAGGCTGTCCTTGAACCCAAGCTCTTCCTGCCTCAATTCCCTGAATGCTGCACTACAGGAGTGTGCCACCATACTGTCTCAGAATATGTGGTTCTAACAAGCTCCCAGGTGATGGTGTATTTCTGGCTTGAGGACAGCCATAGAATAGCCACATCTATGTGCTGACAATTCTCCAATTTTAATCTCAAATCTAGAACTTTCTCCCTGATTCCACATGCATATTTCCAACTATACTTGGGAGTTGGATGTATTTCTCCAAATGTATATGGCAAAACTGAACCCCTCTGCAAGTCCTTCTTTTATTTATTTGCTTACTTATTTTGTTAGTCATGGTACTTGGACTCAGGGTCTGGACACTGTACTGTCCCTAAGCTCTTTTGCTCAAAGCTAGCACTCTACCACTATGAGCCATAGTTCCACTTAAGGTTTTTGGGTTGTTAATTGGAGATAAAAGTCTCATAGACTCTTTTGCCTGGTCTGGCTTTGAACGGCAATTCTCAGATCTTATAGCTGTGAGCCATCAGTGCCCAGCTTTGCTCTATCTTTAAAAAAAAAAAAAAGTTGATGGCAACTCTCTTTCCAAGAGCTCAAACTAAAACAGGCAGCATTAACTACTTTCTTTGTATTAAACTCATATTGAACAAATGAATTCTATGCCCCATGGATCTGGGTAGACAAAGGATAGGAAGCAGGTCAGATCAGTTTTCTACAATGGAGGGAGTATCATCTTTTACTACTTGAGTAAACTATCATACCTTCTCCCAGAAGACAGATTTGGACAGAGACCAAGGGGTTATAGACCGCCAGCAAGTTCATGGGTCATTTGAAGATCAACTCCCCCCTTCAGGGTGAGGAGCAGCACCAGCACTGTGCAACGATTTCCCCAGGGTGCAGAGCAGAAGCAGTGCCTCACTGTGTGCAAGCATTTCTTGTATTATGCCATTAGCTCCAGGGAGCCAGTTAACGCTTTGGCAGGGGAGAAAACCAAGGCCCTAAATTGCAAGAAACTTGCTGGAGGCCCACAGCTAATAAATGGCAGAGGTCAGATTCCAGGGTGCATAGATGGACAGAGAAGCCTCTCCCAGGTTTGCCTTCAGGATCCTGACAGCCCTCAGCAACCAGAGATAGGGATCTGCAAGGTTGGCCTGGCTGCTTAGGGCCTGTCTCTACAACCCTTCCATCAGGCTTTCCACCCACGTCCCACCTGGATGTGGTGACGAGACAGGCGTAAAATCTCCAGGGCCATAGGTAAAGTCTTTGAGTCCATCACCAGGTACAGCAGATGCAAGAGGGCAAGGAAGCCCGCCCCTCTCAGGTCTGTGGCTGGATTTGCTCCTGTAACAGAAACCATGAGCAAATGGGGTGCCAGTGAGCAGGCTTGTGAAGTCTTGCTTCCTTGAGTTTCTGGGACTTGATTTAGTCTCCCCTTCTTTCTCTCTTTTCCTTTCTATCTCTCTCCTTTCTCTCTTTCTTTTTCTTTCCTTCCTCCTTCCCTTCTCTCCCCTCTCTCTTTTCTTTTCTCCTCTCTTCTCTTTTTTTTTCTTCTTTTTTTTTTGGTCGGTCATGGGGCTTGAACTCTGGGCCTGAGCGCTGTCCCTCAGCTCTTCAGCTCAAGGCTGAGCGCTCTACCACTTGAGCTACAGCGCCACTTCCGGTTTTCTGGTGGTTTATTGGAGATAAGAGTCTCACGGTCTCTCCTGCCCAGGCTGGCTTTGAACCGCGATCCTCAGATCTCAGCCTCCTGAGTAGCTAGGATTACAGGCGTGAGCCACCAGCGCCCGGCTTTTTTTTTTCTTCTTAATGAGTATATTCCTTTTTTTTTTTTTTTTTGTCGGTCATGGGGCTTGAACTCTGGGCGTGAGCGGTGTCCTTCAGCTCAAAGCGAGTGAGTGCTCTACCACTTGAGCCACTTCCAAGTTTTCTGGCGGTTAACTGGAGATAAAGAGTTTCACGGACTACTTTCCTGCCTGGACTAGCTGGATCCTCAGATCTCAGCTTCCTGAGTAACTAGGATTACAGGCGTGAGCCACCTGCACCCAGCTCTATTTTTTGGGGGGGAGGTCCGGTCGTGGGGCCTGAGCTCTGGGCCTGGGTGCTGTCCCTCAGCTCTTCAGCTCAAGGCTAGCACTCTACCACTTGAGCCACAACACCACTTCCGGCTTTTTTTTTTTTTCTTATGTGGTGCTGAGGAATCGAACTCAGGGCCTCATGCATGCAAGGCAAGCGCTCTACCACTGAGCCACCTTCCCAGCCCCTCTATTTTTTTTTTTTTAAACAATGTCATCCTTCACTTTCTCATTTGGTACTGGTGATTGAACTCAGGATTAGGCACTCTCCCTTAACTTTTGCATTCAAGACTGATGCTCTATCAATTGTACTATACCTCTACTTCTGGCTTTCTGTTGATTAATTGGAGATAAAAAGAGTCTCACAGACTTTCCTGCCCTAGATGGTTTTGAATCTTGATCCTCAGATCTTAGCCTCCTGAGTAGCTAGGATTATAAAGACATGAGCTACCAGCACCAGCTGCAAAGCTAATTAAAATTAAATTTAATGATTGAAACAAGAATCCTAACATTTCCAGCTGCAATTCTCCATATAGACAGAAGATATATTTTGGACAATTATGCTGTAGATGAGGAAAAATGCAGGGGATTAGACACCTTGCCAATTCCCATACTTGCAAGTGTAAATTTGATAGGACTGGAAAAATAAACCAGTATAATTTCAAAATAAGTGAAGTTTATTTCAATTTTATATATGCAAATATATGCAAATATAATACATAGTGTATATGTATGTGTGTGTGTGTGTGTGTGTGTGTATGTAAATATTCTCTCTGGAAGCTGGGAAGCTGGGAAGCTGGGTACTGGTGGCTCAGGCCTGTAATCCCAGCTACTCAAGAGATTGAGATCCAAGGATAACAGTTCAAAGCCAGCCCAGGCAGGAAAGTCCATGAGACTATTTCCAATTAACAATGAGAAAACCGGAAATGGTGTTGTGGCTCAAAGTGGTAGAACACTAGCCTTGAACACAAAAGCTCAGGTATGAAGACCAGGTGCTAAGTTCAAGCCCATGCCCCCCCCCAAAAAAAAGTTGTTCATTAAAAAGGGAAAAAATTCCATATCATATAATTGCAATGCTTTTCATCTATGCATGGTAAATGTGCTGTAACAGACTCTGAGACCACAAAGCTTAGAAGCTATAAAGCAACCTTTTCTCTCATCACTTTTGTCGAGCCTTCAACTATTTTTGCTGATTTTCTAACAGAGTGCTGTCTTGGGTGGGCCTCTGTATCTGCTTCTCCCTCCTCCATCCTCCTCCTACATGTCCTGCCTCATCATGCAGGCCTGGCTGGGAGAGGCCCATTTGGTCTCTCATTCTGATGCTGGAATCAAAGGCAAGGAAAGATGAGCCATTTCTTACCCTGGAAGCCCAGGTCCTCCCAGTGGTCTCCATGGAGGGCACAGTCAAACTTGGAGCCCGTCAGCTTCTTGTAGATGGTCTGGAGAACTCGGCCATGCATTGGATCTTGACTGTCCAAACCGCCTGTCTCAAAACACACCAATACTCTCTGTTGGGCCATCCCTTAGGACAGGACTGGGTACATCTCAGGGAGCAGCATGTCTGGGTTTTTTTAATTTCCTCTGATCTCTGATTGCATGTACCACCAATGTGGTACATGCAAGAGCTCTGGCTTAGCCTCAGCTATGGAGTGGGCCAAGAGCACTGTCCTGTTTCCACATGCAGCCTCTGCTTTGTGGCGGTGCCCATGCACTCACACTGAGCAATAGTCAGGACCAGGTCCCTTTCTTCCCGAAGGCCCTGGTGGAGCTTTGGAGGTCCAAAGAGGCAGTGCCGGAGAGCAGCAAACCCAGTCCTACGAATAGTTGGTTGGATTCTTTTCTGGGGGAGGATGAAGCAAGCAATGAACAGAGTATTATACCTGCCTCAACTTGATCAACCTCAAGTCAATTAGATTCTCCAAACTAATGGCTGGTCTTTGAAAGGGGGAAGAAATGGAAGGAACCTGCTGGCATGTCAGAGATAATTAAGCTCTGTTCAAGCTCCTAGATTTTTTGCAAGGAGAAAAATGTCTCCGAACATAAGCACCATCAGCCAGTCCTATGCATGTACCCAGATGCCCAACTGGGAAGTCTTTTATAGGGTCAGACAAAAGCCTGGCCAGGGTTCCCCGCAGGATCACTTCTACCCTTGTACATTCATCTTTCTGTCCCTGTAAAGACATGAGTTTTTTAAAAAAATCTAACAGCTTCCTTTTCTACTTCCAGGATGACAGGGCCTATGGGGAGGGGAGTTAGTGGGGACTCACTGGAGTCAGATGTCATTGAAAGGTGGTTGGAGCCTTCTGGACCACCAGCATTCCTGCATTAGGTATGATGACTTTCCATGGAAAGTCATTGTGGCCAGCCATTGAATATTCTGCTTCTGGATTTTTATCAAGCAACTCAACTTCTATCTCTTTAGCTTCTCTCTCCTGAGCCAGGTTTCAGATTAAATACCTGAAATCATATTCCCCTAAACTTATTCTTAGTCATTTAAGACATCCCAGAATGCCTCACAGCTTTGTGTGTGTGTGTGTGTGTGTGTGTGCTTGTCCTGGGGTTGGAACTCAGAGCCTGAATACTGTCCCTGAGCTTTTGTGTTCAAAGTTAGTGCTCTACCACTTGGAGCCACAGTGTCAGTTCTGGCTTTTTGGTAGTTACCTGGATATAAGAGTCTCTGAAACTTTCCTCTGAGATACTCAGATCTCAGGCTCCTGAGTAGCTAGGATTACAGGCATGAGCCACCAACACCTGGTACCTTACAACTTTTATTCCCCCAGATATTTCTTCTTTTTCCATTCCCACTTTTTTTTTTTTAAGCCTCTGCTGCTTTCTTTTCTATTTGTTCTGGAAGTAGCTGCTCAGAAGTCTTCCTCCAAGGTTTACCCATCATTAACAATACAACAATCCCATAGTTTTTGAAAATGCTTAAATAGCTGCTGACTCCCTCAGGGAATTTTCCTCCACTGGCAATGAAAGACTCAGCATTCCGGGCTGTTTGCCTCACCTCCCCAAGGAGCTACATCATCCTCAATTCCAGACCTCCCAGCACTAAGAGGGACCTGCACGCATTGCTGTGGTACTGTACCTAAACATAGCTTAGGTGAGACTAGGCCGTCAATTGGAAGTTTCTATCTTGCCATTATACAATGCCCTATCCTGCTGAGATGAAAACCTGGCTCCTGGGAAGATGGAACTTGCTGGAGCCCCCCAAGCCTCTCTACTGCCACACCTTGAAGGAGGAGAGGTCCACAGTCTGGAAGTGCTGCAGAGCTTCACTGAAGGAGACGAGCTGTCCAGGATGGTCTGAGCTGGCCTGGCTCCCAGGGGCAAAATGGAAGATACCTGAAGGTTTATAGCAGTGGTTATTCCATCAGCAAACACGGAATGCCTCCTAGTTGACACCTCTGAGCTCAGCTCTGGCTTAGCTTGACAGCACAAGCCTACAACTAAAGGAGCTGGCATAATCTGCCACACTAACTCTTGTCTTGCTAGCTGACCTCTGCGGTGAGGTCAGAAAACTGACCTCTCAGACCTGCTCTTAAGGAACTCCCTAAATTTTACTTATCTCTGAGGGAGCAAATCACTCCTGGAATAGGTAACCATAGAGGTGTGTGACACTGGTTTGTTCTGAGGTCTTTCCTAATTTCTACTTTGCCCCTTCTCACACCTCTAAAAGACCCACCTCCCTATCTGTTATTACAGTCTGTAGAGCATTATTGGCATTATCACTGCAACATGTCTCTGGGGCCTTGGTGGGACTCCCAGACCTCTATCAAAAAGGGAGTTAAGACAGCTTTCACTCAGCCTTCAGAGACTTCCTGTGGATGGCTTCAGTCCCAGCCTCATACAGGAGCTCTAGCTGCCTGCTTCCATTCTTCTGCATCCTTGTCACCCTACACAGAGGCTGACTCTGATCCAGGTCCTCCCTGTCTTCCCCGGAGAGGGAAAGGAACCACAGCCCTTTCCCTGTGGTGTGTATTCCTATTTCCTCTTGAGTTGTCATTTTGAACTTGAGAAAGGGACTTTCTTCTACATCATGCAGCTATAAAATGAGAACACTCAGGAATTCTATCTCCGGTCCCAGAGTTACAGGTGTATATGTATAGCTACACATGTGGAAGGGAGTCTTTGTCAACAGCTGCAGTTACCTGTGTCTGGCTGGATGGTGTCCACGGCTTCCCATTCTTCTTGGGCTCTGAGTACCTCCGCACTCACAGCTGCAATAGTGAGAAAAAGAGGCCCTGTAAAATTTAGGTCTATCAGAATCATTGTTGCAGACCCCAACTTCCACTGTGTGACTTAGGTCTTGTTGCTGTCCCGTCCCTTCCTTCCTTACACGGCTGCCAGAAGGTTGTTTTGTTTTAGCCAGTATTGGGATTTGAAGGCTTCACACTTGCTCGGTTGGCACTTTACCACTTGAACCATGTCTCTAATCCCAGAATGAGCTTTTGAAAAGGCCGATCTGTTTTTCCAACCTCCCCAAAACCCTCAAAAGAGAATACTCTACAGCACAGTACCTAAGTTCCTTTCCAGTTTCTACCTTTCCTGGAGAGCTAGCTGAGGTCCGTGGTATGCTCTGCCCTCTCCCACCTCAATGCTTTTGCTCATCCTCTGCTAAAGAGGCAGGACCACAGGGACCCCTGCTGGTTCAGCTCTCTTCTGCTTCCGTTCGCTTATCAGTCTGATTAAGTTACCACTGTTTTACAAGGGGCTGACCCTCAGTACTTGTTGTAGTGGTATAATTATCTCTCCTATAGTAAGCCATCCAAGGACAGGTCTCTGTGCAGACTAGCACAATGCCTGATGAATGAATGTTCAATGAACATACATTCAATGAACTCACAATATAAAAAGGTGGCTGGAGAAAAAAAAGCACCAGGACAGGCTTTCCCTCACCACCATACTGCCACTTTTCTCCACACCACAGTGGTCTTCTCCAGACCAAATCACCAGTTCTGCTCCAGTTCTAGGGCTTGAACTTGGGGACTAGATACTGTCCCTGGGCTTTTGTGCTCAAGGCTAACATTCTACCACTTGAGCCATAGCTCCATTTCCAACTTTTGGGTGGTTAATTGAGGATAAGAGTCTTATGGACTTCTTGCTGAGGCTGGGTTTGAACTGTGATTCTCAGATCTCAGCCTCCTGAGTAGCTGGATTGTAGGTGTGAGCCACCAACTCCTGGCTACCAGTGGCATGTTTTTTGTCACTATCCATTCCAATTTGCCATATACAACATCAACAATATGTATGATGGAGACTTTGTTACCAGAAATTAGGACTTCTCCAGCCACAGTGGTAAAAATAGGTTAGGATAGCTCACAGTCTTGGCTGACAACCTCATCACTTGGCAGAGAACTGCCTGAAAGGTGCGACAGTGTGGATGTAGGTTGGGTGTGTCCCTAAGTTTTCCTGTGAGCTATTAATAGAGTAGAAATAATCTGATTATGGTGTTTGGGGCCCCTGGCAAGTAGCCCAGATAGATTAAAGTTCTGAAGGTGAACTCTCCCTCTCTCTCCTCTCCCCCATGATCACTACAATGGCTTTATAAGAAGAAAGCTAATTAGGGGAGAGATAGGGAGAGGTAAAAGAGAACGATGAAAGGGGTGACATGGGTCAAGGTGCATTGTACTCATAAACTGACGTGTTGAGCTGAAACCCCTTTGTACAGCTAAAGATAATAAAATAATAAAAATTAAAAAAAAAGAAGAGAGGAAGCTGGGGTCATGGCTTAATCGGTTAAGTGCCTGTTTAGGCTCTGAGTTCAAACCTCACTATCACCAAGAGAAAAAGAGTCAGCGAAGATACAAAGGTACACTCCATCTCTTGCTATATGTCACAGGGTAACAATTCAGAACTATACCAGCAAAAAGGCCAGTGGCTCACGCCTGTAATCCTAGCTATTTAGGAGGCTGAGATCTGGAGATCATGGTTTGAAGCCAGCCAGGTCAGGAAAGTCTGTGACATGCTTATCTCCAACTAATCACCAAAAAAGCTGGAAGTGGTGCTGTGGCTAAAGTGGTAGAGTGCTAGCCTTGAGCACAAAAGCTCAGGGATAGCATGTAGGCCCTGAGTTCAAGCCTTAGTATTTAATTACAGTAACAAAAAAAAGGACTGACTTGTACATTAAACACAATGCTACCAAATACTAATGGGATGCAGCAGGGAAGGGGTAGAGGATAGTTTCTGAAAGCACACAAGAGTAAAGGGTTTCCTCTGCTGTTTACTAGACTAGTTGGACTAGTTACTTAACCATCTGTCACCCCTCATGGGACTGTTGTGAGGATGAGGCAATTTTCTAACTTCTGAGGGAAGAATGTAAGCCAAAGGTTAAGTGCTCAGTAATGTTAGTTATTGATGTTGGTTGGCACAGCCTTGGCTGACAGGGCTGTGGACCACGGGGTCCTAGATGTCTAGATCTCTAGGAAATTCCATTTTGCTGCCTCCAGCTTGGGGTAAAGAGTGTCAGGGCTATCAAGCTAAACAACTTCAACAGAATACTTGACTTTCATTGGCCAAGAAAATAAAATGTGCTTTTGACATGTAGGGTCCTAGGAGGGGGAAAAAGTGGGGCAAAGTGGCTGAACAAAACAAAACAAAGGGGCTGGGAAGGTGGCTCAGTGGTAGAGCGCTTGCCTTGCATGTATGAGGCCCTGGGTTCGATTCCTCAGCACCACATAAGCAGAAAAAAAAAAGCCAGAAGTGGAGCTGTGGTTCAAGTGGTAGAGCGCTAGCCTTGAGCTGAAGAGCTGAGGGACAGTGCCCAGGCCCAGAGTTCAGGCCGGATCCAAAACAAACAAACACACAAAAAAGCCCCAAAAAGCTATGAGGAATGCTGAGCAAGCCTTTCTACCTTACTCCTCACCTTCATACAGCTGTACTGATTCTTTACCCTTCAGACCCTCATCTCTGAGCAATTAGATCCTTTTGTTACCTATCAGTCTTTGAGCTTAGGGTCACCGAGTAGGAATCTGCTATTACAATGAGTTAGACAACAGAAAGTCAAGGCTTCAACTAACAATATTAAGCTAAGCTGGTGCCTAAAGTCTGGAAACAAATGCCCAACCTCTGACTATCTTCCAGATGTTCATATATTAAATAGAACCATCAATTAAAATAGTATATTAACTAGTTAATTTTTCTGCATTACTACAGTTTGAACTCAGAGCCTTGCTTAAGCCATGCCCCCAGCCCCTTTTTTATTTATAGGGTTTTTTGTTTGTTTGCTTGCTTTTTTTCCAAATAAGGTCTCTGTTTTCTTTGTAGGCAGATTATGATCCTCCCTTGTACTTAGAATTAAGTATGTACCATCATACTCAGTTAACTTTTTTGCCTGGGTTGGTCTTGAACTGAGATTTTATTTCTGCCTCCGTTATATTTAGGATTACAGATAAAAGCCACAGCACCTACACCTACCAAGTATATCTATTTATTTATTTTTGCCAGTTCTGGGGCTTGGACTCCTTGTCCCTGAGCTTTTGTTCAGGGCTAGTATTCTACCACTTGAGCCACAGCACCACTTCTGGCTTTTCTGTTTATGTAGTACTGAGGAATTGAACCTAGGACTTCATACATGCTAGCCAAGCACTTTACCACTAAGCCACACTAGTTAAAATAACTCTAAAAAAATATATGATTATTTAGTATGATTGAAACTATTTGGGGGCTGGGAAGGTGGCTCAGTGGCAGAGTGCTTGCCTTGCATGCATTAGGCCCTGGGTTTGATTCCTTAGCACCACATAAGCAAAAAGAAAAAAGCCGAAAGTGGTGCTGTGGCTCAAGGTGGTAGAGTGCTTGCCTTGAGCTGAAGAGATGAGGGACAGCGCCCAGGCCCAGAGTTCAGGCCCCACGACCGGACCCCCAAAAAACCCCCCAACCCCTCCCCCCCAAAAAACCCAAAAAACTATTTGGGGCTAGCTGGGCACCAGTGGCTCATGCCTGTAATCCTAACTACTCAGGAGGCTGAGATCTGAGGATCGTGGTTCAAAGCCAGCCTGGGGAAGAAAAAGTCTGTGAGACTCTTATCTCTAATAAACCACCAGAAAACTAGAAGTGGTGCTACAGCTCAATTGGTAGAGCACTAGTCTTGAGCTAAAGAGCTCAGGGGCAGTGCCCAGGTCCAGAGCTCAAGCCATACAACAGACAAAAAGAAAAACAAAACAAATAAACAAAAAAACTATTTGGAGCAAGGTGCCAGTAGCTTAAAACTGTAATCATAGCTACTCAAGAGGCTGAGAGCCGAGGATCTCATGCAGGAAAGTTTAGGAGATTCTTTTTTTTTAAATTTTTTTGGGTCCGGTAGTGGGGCCTGAACTCTGGGCCTGGGCGCTGTCCCTCAGCTCTTCAGCTCGAAGCTAGAGCTCTACCACTTGAGCCACAGTGCCACCTCCGGCTTTTTTTTCTTTTTGCTATGTGGTGCTAAGGAATCGAACCCAGGGCCTCAGGCATGCAAGGCAAGCGCTCTACCACTGAGCCATCTTCCCAGCCCAGTTTAGGAGATTCTTATCTCCACTTAGACACCAAAAATGCTGAAGTAGAGCTATGGCTTAAGTAGTTGAATGGTAGCCTTGAGCAAAAAAGCTCTAGAACAGCACCCAGGCTCTGAGTTCAAACACCAAGACTGGTACAAAAACAAAACAGAACAACAACAAACAAAAAAACTATTTGGCACAAAAGTGCCAGTTGTTTTCAAATATAAAATATTTAAACATTTAAAGAAAAATTTGGGGCTGGGAAGGTGGCTCAGTGGTAGAGCACTTGCCTTGCATGCGTGAGGCCCTGGGTTCGATTCCCTAGCACCACATAAGCAAAAAGAAAAAAGCCGAAAGTGGAACTGTGGCTCAAGTGGTAGAGCGCTAGCCATGAGCTGAAGAGCTGAGGGACAGCACCCAGGCCCAGAGTTCAGGCCCCACGACTGAACCAAAAAAAAAGAAAAAGAAAAATTTGTCTGGGTGCCAGAGGCTCACGCCTGTAATCCTAGCTACTCAGGAGGCTGAGATCTGAGGACTGTGGTTCAAAGCCAGCCCAGGGAAGAAAAGTCTGTGAGACTCTTATCTCCAATAAACCACTAGAAAACAGAAGTAGCGCTGTGGCTCAAGTGGTAGAGCATTTGCCTTGAGCTGAAGAGCTCAGGGACAGTGCCCAGGCCCAGAGTTCAAGCCCCGTACCAACCAAATAAAAATTACCATCTAAAGTAAAATTTGTTAATGTATTTAAGTGTATGATAACTCAAAGCTTGTAATCTTAACTACTTGGGAAATGGGGAAAAAAAGTTACAAAACTCCCTCTTGATCAATGGCTGGCATAGCGGTACATGCCTGTATCCATGACTCAGGTAAGCACAAAGAGGAGGATTGCAGTCCAGGTTAGCCTAGGCCTAAAGAGAGATACTAGCTTGGGGCTGGGAAGATGGCTCAGTGGTAGAGCGCATGCTTTGCATGCCTGAGGCCCTGGGTTCGATTCCTCAGCACCACATAAGCAAAAAGAAAAAAGCCGGAAGTGGCGCTGTGGCTCAAGTGGTAGAGCGCTAGCCTTGAGCTGAAGAGCTGAGGGACAGTGCCCAGGCCCAGAGTTCAGGCCCCACAACCGGATCCCAAAAAAAAAAAAAAAAAAAAAGAGAGATACTAGCTCAAAAACACCAGTATAAGCCAGACACAAGTGGCTCTTGCTTATATCCCTCGGAAGGCTGATCTGAGGATCACAGTTTGAAGATGGCCCAGAAAGAAATCTCCAGTTAAACACCAAAACGCTGGCAGTGGGGCTGTGGCTCAAGTGGTAGAACACCAACCTGGAGTGGAATAAACTAAGGGAGAGTACCTAAACCCCTAAATTCATGCCCCAGTGCCCCCCCCACTACACTCCCCTAATTTTCATAATAACACTGAAGGAGAAAGTAACCCAAAAGATCATATCTAGTGTTAATATTTCCACTTTCATCATAGGGCTTACATGACCTGCCCAGAAGAACAAAGTAAACCATTAGCAGAGAAACAGATTCCTAATCCAGTGTTGATTCTAGTTTTCCTTGAGGAATAATAAATTTACAAAATCCTGAAGGACAAAGAGCAAGAGAACTCCAGATTAGGGGAAGTACATCTGTGGCAGGTCTGATCTGGGTTCCACCCAGGCTCTAAGAGTCCTGGGAGATCCTTACCGGCTGGTTCCCATCCATTGGCTTCAGCTCTCAAAGCCTGGAGAAGGCTATGGTTCTTCAACTCTGAGATCTGTAGGGGCAGGAGACCTTGAGAGTTAGAGTGAATCTACTCCCCCATACATACATGAGCATTTCCCATGCACCCTACTGAATCCTTGACAGAGGATTCTCTGTATCCAGAGGATAGTAAATGCTTGGCAGATCCAAAGGATCTGCTCTGCTTTGATAGGCTGATTGAAGTCAGTGTTTTGTCAGACGTGGGGCTTGAACTCAGGGCCCGAGTGTTCTCTCTGGGCTTTTGTGCTAAAGGTTAACACTTTACCACTTTGAGCCATAGCTCCACTTCTGGTTTTCTGGTGGTAAATTGGAAATGAGTCCCACAGATTTTCCTGCCTGGGCAGTATTTGAACCGGATCCTTAGACCTCACCTTCCAGAGCAGCCACCAGTACGCCCAGCTCAATGTTTTTTTTATTTGGTGTGTGTGTTTGTGTGTGTGTGTGTGTGCTGCAAGGTGAACTTTGTATATGTTAAGCATACTCTTCTACTGAGCCATATACTGGCCCCAAAGTCTTTTTTTTTGTTGAAGTTTTAACAAGGATGTATTTTAGTATAGCAGGGTTAAAGTAGGGAAAAGTGTAAAAGAGAGAAGCATTTCCTGCTTTCCATGCAGGCAATTAAAGACTCTTAGTTGTTACATAGCTCAGAAGGCCTTTACTATGGAATCCACCATCTCAGCCCCCAAAATACTGAGATTATGGGCACGCATGACCACATCTGGCTTGAAATCAATCAGGATCTTTGATCCTGGAATCTCAGCTTCCTGAGTAGCTAAGATTAGAGTTGTGAGCCACCAATGCCTAACAAAGCCAGACTTTAAGTATAAGGTACCTGGAAAACTTCAGCTATGAAGTAGAAGCTAAACAATGTGGGGAACAAGTGTATATCTTCCTTGAACAGTAAATAAATTAAAATGGAGGTATAGCTTTGGTATTGCCCATGCCTTTTACACATTATGGTTGTATATCCAACCATCTTATTGGGATAGAGGTAGGATGGCATGTTTGTACATTTCCCCCCTCACTTCCCACCCTCTTCAGGTCCCCCCAGTTCCTGGCACAGGGTCTGGCAACACACAGCCGCATGCAAACCCCACAGAAGTAAGCATTGACACGAGGCACTGAGAGGTTGGTGATATGTACAGGAATTCCTCTGAAAGCTGCAAGAGCACTGCTGTCCTTGTCTTGTGAGGAAGAGCCATCAGACATGCCTTCAACCTGCAACACAGACCAGGATCAACCTCCCAGGCTTACAAAGACCACAGTTTAAATATATCACACACACACACACACACACAGACACACACACAGACACACACACAGACACACACACACACACCGACCACAGTTTAAATATCACACACACACACACACACACACACACACACACACACACACACAGACAGAGGAGAATTCCAGGTAAATTAGTTACTAGATAGAAAAACCTCAGCTTGAGACCTTGGGTTTAATCCTTAGTACCACAAAAACAAAAAGTAAAACTTTCGTTTAATATGGCTGTAAGATAAACTGCATGCTGAGGGTAGGGCCCAATGGTACAGTGATTGCCTGGTAGGCCCTAGTATACTAGACCCTGTGATCCCCAGTATGGAAGAGGGAGAGTGGGAAGAGGGAGAAGGGGAGGGAGAGGGAAAAGGAGAGAGAAGAAAGTTTAGTTAATGCTGTTTCAAAAACCTTATATGGATTTCACAAATCCGTTAAATATCTCAAGACTCTAAATGACATAGTTTGTGCACAGCTAAACCTTTCCCCTACTACTGTTAATTCAAAACAAACAAAAAATACACTTGAGCCAGGTGCTGGTGGCTCACGCCTGTAATCCTAACTACTCAGGAGGCTGAGATGTGAGGATCACGGTTCAAAGCCAGGCCGGGCATGAAAGTCCAAGAGTCTCTTATCGACAATAAACCACCCAGAAAACTGGAAGTGGCACAGTGGCTCAAGTGGTAGAGCGCTAGCTTTGAGCTGAAGAGCTGAGAGACAGCACCCAGGCCCAGAGTTCAAGCCCCATGACCGACCAAAAAAAAAAAAACAACACTTAACCAACTGTTTGAAACTTCTATCACAGATACAGGGCTAATTTTCCAAATCTATTTTTTTCAAGTCCTAAAAATTGGAACTTAAAAACAAACAAAAAACCAGGCTGAGCATGACTGTATACACCTGTAATCCCACCATTTGGGAGATTAGGGCAGTTGGATATCAAATTTGAGGGCAGCCTGGGCTACACAGTAACTCTGGCTAAAAAAAAAAAAAAACAAATCAACCAAAAAACACCTGAAGCTAAACCCAGTGGAAATATAGGCAAAAAAAACATAATTTATACTAAAATAAACACATATCATCCTAAACATATAAACATGCTCAATATCACTCAGGAAAGAAATGCCAAATAAAACTACCCTGAGATAATGTTTGAACTGTCAGATTATCAAGGTCAAAAAGTAATACACTACATTGCTCAGCGTGCCAAAGGTTACGTTACAAGATCAGGGAGAATAAGTAGTTTCCACTCCTTCACTTGACAATACCTAGCAAAACCATCATGTACATCTTGGGTCTGCACTTGCATTCTAGTAATTAATCTACCAAATATCCATTTGCAATATGACACATTTACATTTACAGCATCATTCATTTGTTTATTTATTGGGGCTATTTATTTATCAAGGTCTTGCATTCTGGCTTGGCTTTTTTCCCTTCAAGACTGGTACTCTACCACTGAAGCCATACCTCTATTTCTGGCTTTTTGCTGGTTAATTGGAGATAAGAGTCTCAGAGATTTTTTTCTGCCTGGGCTGGCATCTTCAGACCTCAGCCTCCTGAATAAGTAGGATTACTGGCATCAGCCACCAGATCCTGGCTTTTTTTTCTTTTTCCTGAGACAGAGTCTCACTACGTATTCCAGCTGGCCTTGAACTTACTATATAGTGAGCCTAGGCTGCCCTTGAAATCAATGATCCCACTGCCTCTGCCTACTCAGTGCTGGATTATAGGCGTGTACCTCTATGCTCTAATACTGGTTTCCCCAAAATATTTCTAAAACTTCACATTTTCAAGATATAGTCTGTGTCATTATTAACAATAAATTAACAAACCAACGCCTTCTTTCCCAAATTGGAGTACTTACCTGTTCTTCTCTTAATTCTTTCTCATTATGGAAAGAGCAAGATTTTTCATTCATGATGCAGAATCATTTGTTCAGGTAGGCTTTATCCTTAGGCTCAGAAGGAGTTTTATAGAGTCTGAGATCTGAAACTATGAGGAAAGCAGTAGATCCAATTGCTCTACCTTTGCCTTCCTTCTTGGCAGTCATTAAGATTGAAAGTAGGAAAACAGTCCCTTTGTGCCATCACTAGGGTGATGTGAGTAGACAAAGTCCTTGGAGACTCTGAAGCCTCTGCTCTGGAAAAAGAAACACTGGTTTCATTATTCAGTTCCAGCTCTACTGAGGAAAAAGGTGACTTTACACATTTTTTGTGTGTGCCAGTCTTGAGGCTTGAACTCAGGGCCTGCCTGGGTTCGTCTTTGAGCTTCTTTTGCTCAAGGCTAGTACTCTACCACTTGGGCTACAGCTCTACTTCCAGCTTTTCTGGTAGTTTAGTGAAGATAAGAATCTCACAGGCTTTCCTGCCCAGGCTGGCTTTGAACTTCAATACTCAGATCTCTGATTCCTAAATAGCTAGGATTACAGGTATGTGCCAACAGTACCTGGCAACTTTAAACATTTTTAAGCAGTTATGAACTTACTGTGAACAAACAAGCTACCTTAGCCAAATGTCTATCTCTTACTGTCCAGGCCATTGATAGAAAGAACCATGCACCAGTCTGGGGGTTGGGTTTGAGTGTCTAGAAGGCAGTAGCACTTCTGTAAGTGATGGGCTCTGTTTCTAGCTGTGAAGTCTTTGGGACCTGGGCAAACTTACCAAAGAGCTTATCAAAGGTGAGGCTTTCCTGGCACTAGAGTTTATAATCCTAGCTACTCAAGAGGCTGAGATCTGGGCTGGGAAGATGGCTCAGTGGTAGAGCGCTTGCTTTGCATGCCTGAGGCCCTGGGTTCGATTCCTCAGCACCACATAAGCAAAATGAAAAAAGCCAGAAGTGGTGCTGTGGCTCAAGTTGTAGAGTGCTAGCCTTGAGCTGAAGAGCTGAGGGACAGCGCCCAGGCCCAGAGTTCAGGCCCCACAACCGGACCCAAAAAAAAAAAAAGAGGCTGAGATCTGATGATTCAGTTTCAAAGTCAGTCCTGGCAGAAAAGCCTATGACACTCTCATCTCCAATTAACCAGCTTAAAACAAAAATAAACAAACAAACAAAAAACTAGAGTACAAGGCCATGAGTGCAAGTCCCAGTATTGGAACAAAATAAAACAAAACAAAGAGGTGAGTCTCATAGGTTGGTAGTTTTAGCTGAAGAGCTTAGATTTTGTTTAGGTCCTAGACACAGGTTGGAGCTAGGGACTTAAAATATTACAACTGGTTCTCAGGATGACAGAAACCCAAAATGCAACATGATGTTCTAATCTTCCCCAGATCTCCAGCAGTTTGGTTTACTCTGTGTGTGTGTGTGTGTGTGTGTGTGTGTGTGGTGGTGGTGGGGTGTTGTTGCACTGTTGGAGATCAAATGTAGGGCCTTTTGCATACTACACAAGCATTCTACTGTGTTTCATTCCATGTTGTCTGCCTCAGGTAAAAGGATAGACGGGGATCATATCTTAATCACAGGGGAACTAGACATCATGGATGTCTAGAAGATTATAAATGGGCATATGCCCCCCACACAACTGACCTTCACCATAGGCTCATGGGCTTCTTTATGCTGTCAGCTTCCCTGTTCAGGGATATGGTTTGGATTCCCTAAGAACCAGGTGTCAGAAACAAACTGTGCTCTTCGTCAGGATTCAATGTTTAACACTAAGAAGAGGAATACCTCCTAGCTCTCAGGCTGATCATCTGGTGTACTGTACTAGAAGGGAGTGAGAGTGAGGTACTGTCCCTCAGGTGTGGCACCCCAGGAATTAGCCTTCATTCACTGGAACTTCAGTATCTGCCATTTTGATTCCTTCTATATGTGTGTGTGTGTGTATGCATGTTTACACATATATATGTATACACACACACACTCACACAAACACACCTCAATCAGCCAATCTGGCAAGTGACCAGCAGACAAGTAACAGCAATCTTAAGAAGGCTGTGCCTGAAATGCTTAAGCAGCATAGAAACAGGACTAGCTTTATTACATAGCTGGCAGAAGCACAGCTGGGGACTGCAAAATGGAAAATTAGTCAAAGAACAGAAGAACAAAAACTGTCAAACAAAGCCGGGCGCTGGTGGCTCACGCCTGTAATCCTAGCTACTCAGGAGGCTGAGATCTGAGGATTTCGGTTCAAAGCCAGCCCAGGCAGGAAAGACTATGAAACTCCTATCTCCAATAAACCACCAGAAAACCGGAAGTGGCGCTATAGCTCAAGTGGTAGAGCTCTCGCCTTGAGCTGAAGAGCTGAGGGACAGCGCCCAGGCCCAGAGTTCAAGCCCCACGACCCACAAAAAAAAACACAACAACTGTCAAACAGGTACTCAGGATTATGAAGTCACTCACTGCTACTATTAGGCACATTCCTGGAACTGAGGAAATGAGCATCCTATAGAAACAAACCCTTGGACACCTACTTTAGCCAGGAACTACCTTGAAAGGATGTGATTTGTCAATTGTTGTTGGAAGTTAAACTTTTAACTCATTTTAGCTCATTGATTTAGAAGCCGAAATGATGGTTACAAATATCCACAGAGGCTGGGTGCTGGTGGCTAACACGCTTGTGTTCATAGCTATTCAGGAGGAGATCTGAGGATTGTGGTCCTAAGGCAGCCCCAGCAGGAAAGTCCATGAGACTCTTAGCTCCAATTAACCACCAAAAAGTAGGCAGTAGAGCTATGGCTCAAGTGATTGAGCGCTAGTCTTGAGCAAAAACTCAGGGTTAGCACACAGGCCCTAAATTCAAGTCCTAGGACGGACAGACAGACAGACAGACACACACACACACACACACACACACACGTCCGTGGCTGAATCTTCCATCAGGTTTTACCCTGGGTGGCCTTGGGGACCCTGGGGATCTCAGATTGCCATCTGGTTCCCAGCCACAGGCAACGTCGTTTGTGTGCAGCGTCTTGGCCGTACGGAGCGAGAGGCTCCGGGCCCGGGGGCTGCCAGCGCGCATCTCCACAGGGATCTCGGGTCATCCAGACGCCCGGCCGCCCGGCAGCTGCGGGCAGGTTCGGGACGGAAACTTCCTCGCTACTCGGAGGGGTACGCGGAGGTCTGCGGTCAGCCCCGGAGCGCTCAGTACGTCCATCGCAGACACCAGGACCAGAACCCAGGCCATCCGTGCGCCTCCTCGTCACGATTCCTTCCCAGTCTTGCGTCTTTCAACGTGCTGTGGCCCCACAGTGGCCACCCTCACCCCATCACCTCCCTCCTCCAATCGCCCCTCCGCTCACCCGACGCGTCCCCAGCGTTCCCCAGGATTCCCGGCAGGCTCCGACATCCTTGGCTGGGCCTCATCTGCGCATGCGCCCGCTGCTTGCCGTTCCGGCGTTCCCGCCCCCAGGAACTGCATTTCCCAGCAGGCAATGGGAAGTTCGCGCGGCAAAATGAGCGAGGAGGAGCGTCTGGGCGTGAGACTTAGCGGTGGAGTGCGTGCGGTGGAGTGCGTGCGGGAAGCACCACAGACACGGAAAAAGCCAGAGGGGGGCGCTGTGGCTCAAGTGGTAGAGGGCTAACCTGGAGTAAAACGAGGCTCGACCCTGAGTTCAAGCCCCGGGACTGGCAGATAGACAACAAAAGGAAGTATGGAGAGCCGGGTGGGTCAGTCCGAGTCGGGGGTGTTGTTGGCTTTGCTAAGTAAACCAACTTAACCAAAGGTCACCACTGCCTCTGTCTTCCGGACTGGGGAGGGCCGACTCGGGTGAGGAGGGCTCGGGGCGGAGCTACGGCTATAAAACCTGGACCCCGGGGGCGCGAGCCGTCGCCGGGCCCCAGCGCGGCGCCATGTGGCTTTCCGCGGTGCTGGCGGCCGTGCTGCTGGCGGCCGTGCTCCGCCAAGTTTGCCTGTGGCTGTGCTCCGGGAGATCCCCGAACCCCTTCTCCCAGGATGTCAAGCGGCCGCCCGCGCCCCTGGTCACCGACAAGGAGACCAGGAAGAAGGTTCTCAAGCAAGGTCAGCGGGAGGTGACCCTGGGGACTGGGGACTGCGCTTGGCCCTGCTCTGGAGAGTTCTCGCTTCGCATCCCTGCGGAGCAAGATGGTGCCTGACCCGGGCCTCCGAGCGGCCACAGAGCAAAGGGCGGGGAAGGCTTCCTCGGACGCCCCATTTTGAGTGTCAGCCGTGGAAAGAATCTTTATCCCTGCACTCCTGGGACAGAGTTGCGTCCAGGGCGCGGGCATAGTCCTTGAGGTTGCTCAGGGCTTGGCACAGCCTCTCGTCCTGGCGCTGGCAGTCTCTTCTGCTCGCCATTTGGCTCTGGGCCATCCCATGTGGAATTGCTTCGGATCCCTGATAAAAACAGACCTTTCTCCCACTTGGCTCTAAGACCTTAACTTTTTTCTTGTATCCCATTGCTGGCACACGGGCGTGGGACAGCTGCCCAGAGATCTTAACCAGTTCTCATAGGAAATTGTAATTTTCCATTTGGGTATTTGAAATTTTAAATGTGATCCCAACTCAGAATTGGGGATTCTGTAACTTTGGAGAGCTCCAACCAGATGTTTTAGGCTCAGAGTCCTTCAGTTAACTAGGTACCTACACTCTCATCTTTAAAAAAAAAAACATCGTGGCCGGGCGCTGGTGGCTCACGCCTGTAATCCTAGCTACTCAGGGGGCTGAGATCTGAGGATCGCGGTTCAAAGCCAGCCCGGGCAGGAGAGACCATGAGACTCCTATCTCCAACAAACTACCAGAAAACTGGAAGTGGCGCTGTAGCTCAAGTGGTAGAGCTCTCGCCTTGAGCTGAAGAGCTGAGGGACAGTGCCCAGGCCCAGAGTTCAAGTCCCACGACCGACAAAAGAAAAAAAACATCGTGGTGGCTGGGCTCTGGTCGCTTACACCGTAATCCTAGCTACTTAGTGAAAGGAACAATGAAAGGATCCAACACATCCATGCCAGGGAACCTCGCGGAGGCAAGCAGGTACAGGAGAAAGATGATTACAAGGTTTATTAGAGGAGCTATATTTGCCCCGGAGAGAGAGCATATGGCAGCCTTCACTATCTAGGTAGCAGCAGGGTCTGGGGGTTAGGAAGTGAGGTAGATGGGAGTTCAGGTGGGTCTGGGTGGAGAGAGGGAGGGGCCATCTGTATGGTGGGAACTCCAGGCTGGGTCTGGGTGGAGCTGAGGACCAAAGGTGGGCATAATGCTTACACTTAGGAGGCTGAGATCTGAAGATTATGGTTCAAAGCCAGCCCCGGCAGGAAAGTCACTGAGACTCTTCAATTTACCACTAAAAAGCCATAAGTGGAACTGTAACTTAAGTGGTAGAGCACCAACCATAAGCAAAAAAGCTCAGGGACAGTGCCAGGCCTTGACTTCAAGCACCAGAGCTGGCAAAAATAAAACAAAACAACAAAAGTTTGCTGTTGATTCCAAGGTTTAAAAGAAAGCGTGCTGCTGGATGCCAGTGGCTCACACCTGTAATCCTAGCTTCTCAGGAGGCTGAGATGTGAGGATTGTGGATCAAAGCCAGCCCAGACAGACAAATCTGAGAGACTTACCACCAACTAGCCAGAAAATAGTCAGAAGAGAAGATGGGGGTCACGTAATAGTATGCCAACTATGAGCAGAGCAAAATCATCAGGCTTGGTGTTCAAGCCCTAGTACTGCACATACACACAAAAGTTTGCCAATTCCTGCAACTTCAAAAATTCCAAATCTCAGTTCTTGGGTAGTCTTTTTTTTTTTTTTTGTAATACTGATTTTAGGTTTTTTGGTAGTACTGAGACTTGAACACAGGCCCCTGTACTTGCTAGGCAGGTGCCTATTTGAACCAGACCTTCTGTCCTACTTTTTCATATCAGCACAAGGTAGTTTTGACATAGCCATATGACATGTATTGATCAGAGTCACCTCTTCCATCACTCTCCTACTCCCTCTTGCTATCTGTCATTTTTTGCTTTAGTTCTTTTTCAAGTCTTGTGTTTTTGCCTGGGTAGGCCTTCAACCTTAATCCTCCCATTGTTTTATGTATAGCTGAGGTTGCAAATATATACAAATCATACCCAGCTTATTGATTGAGATGGAATATCCCCTAATTTTTTTTGCCTGGGATAATCCTTCGAATCTCTGCCCTCTAAATAGCTAGATTTATAGGCATAAGCCACTGTTGGGCAGTGACTTTATTGTTTGTTTGTTTGGTGCCAGTCCTGGGGCTTGAACTCAGGGTCTGGACACTGTCTCTTAAGCTTTTTTTGTTCAAGGCTAGAGCTCTACCACTTGAGCCACAGCTCCACTTCTGGCTTTTTTTTTTTTGGTGGTTAATTAGAGATAAGAAATAAGAGTCTCACAAATGTTTCTGATAGTACTGGTTTCAAACTTTAATCCTCAGGTCTCAGCCTCCTAACTAGCTAGGATTACAGGTGTGAGCTACTAGCGGATGGCTTGGTCAGTGACTTTTAAAGAACAGATTTTTTTTTGTCAGCCATGGGGCTTGAACTCAGGGCCTGGGTGCTGTCCCTCAGCTCTTCAGCTCAAGGCTGACACTCTGCCACTTGAGCACAGTGCCACTTCAGGCTTTTTCTGTTTATATGGTGTTGAAGAATCGAACCCAGGGCCTCATGCACACTCGGCAAGCACTCTACCACTGAGCCACCTTCTCAGCCCAAGAACTTACTAAGGACTTAGTTGGAAGTGGAAGAATGCCTACCTAGCGAGTAAAGGCCCTGATTTCAAACTCTGGTACTGTCAAGAAAAAAAACAAAACAAAAAGAACCTTTTAAAGAACAGATATTATGTTGGAACTGCAGTATGGCACCATATACTGTCCAGTCTGGCCCTTAGCCATGGTGCCTTCTCCTGACACTTCCTCAATATGAGAGTCTGGTGCTGTGATTTCTTAGAGCAGAATATAGCTGCTCCATTGTCATGAAGCTCCAGACCCTGCAGCTTCCAGGAACTCAGTGAAACCAGCCTGTCCCAACCCCAGAATTCTTCCTTCTGACCCTTTTGGTTCTTTTTCCTTCCCTTGTTCTCTCTTTTAGTATTTGCACTTAGTTTTTTCCACCTGGACTGTTGATACCTTTCTGGCTTCACTGAAGTCACCTTTATATTTAATCTCCTTGGTTGGTCCTGAGTACTCTCAGAGAAAGTGTTTGAATTGTCTAAGTCAAGAGTTCTTTTTCTAAGCTAAACTACTGTAGAGGTTTCTTGGTCTGATTGAGCTAGAAAAAGCCTCTTTGGTTTCTTGGTCTTTGCTACTTCTGACCCTTTCTGAAAAGCTCACTCTCTGTCTCCTGCCTACTTGCAGCTTTCTCAGCCAGCCGAGTGCCAGAGAAGTTGGATGTGGTGGTGATCGGCAGTGGCATCGGGGGACTGGCCTCCGCAGCTTTTCTGGCTAAAGCTGGCAAGCGAGTACTTGTGCTGGAACAACATACCAAAGCTGGGGGCTGTTGTCATACTTTTGGAAAAAATGGCCTTGAATTTGACACAGGTAAGGCTTATACAGAACAGGGTTCAAGGGGGCTGGGAAGTTGGCTCAGTGGTAGAGCGCTTGCCTTGCATACCTGAGGCCCTGGGTTCGATTCCTCAGCACCACATAAACAAAAAGAAAAAAGCGGAAGTGGCGCTGTGGCTCAAACGGTAGAGCGCTAGCCTTGAGCTGAAGAGCTGAGGGACAGTGCTCAGGCCCAGAGTTCAGGTCCCACGACCGGACCAAAAAAAAAAAAAGAACAGGGTTCAAGCATAGATGTATCTTTAAGAAGCTTGTAGCAGTCACTGTAGGGTGGTGTTGGGTATTTGAGTTATTTTGGAGGTGCCATCTTCCTTCTGGACACCACTGTTTCTTGTTTTACAACTATATGAGCTGGGCACAGATCTGGTGTTATCTCCTATGATCTGACACCCTTCCTTTTCCTTTTTTGGTATCTGTACTGGGGCTTGAACTCAGGGCCTGGACACTGTCCCTTAGTTTTAGTTTATTTTTATTTTTAAGTTGTTATTATAAAAGTGATATACAGCGGGGCTACGGTTTTGGGTTTTTTTTTTTTCTGATCCTGGGGCTTGAACTCAGGTCTAGACACTGTCTCTGTGCCTCTTTGTGCCCAAGGCTAGTGTTCTACCACATGAGTTACAGCTCCACTTCCAGCTTTTTTTTTTTTTGGAATAGTTTATTGGAGCTAAGAGTCTCACAGGCTTTCCAGTCTGGGCTGGCTTTGAAACCTGATCCTCAGATCTCAGTCTCCTTAGTAGCTAGGATTATGGTATGAGCCATCAGCTAAGGAGCAAGGACAATGTCACACCTTAGCTGTTTTGCTAAAAGCTGACACTCTACCACTTGAGCTACAGCTCCACTTCTGGCTTTTTGGTGGTTAATTATGGATGTTTCATGGATTTTCCTGCCAGGGCTGACTTTGAACTTCAATCCTTAGATCTCAGCTTCCTGAGTAGCGAGAATTACAGGAGTGAGCAACTAGTACCCTGCTCTCTGACACTTTTCTATGGGAGAATGGACATACTTCTCTGGGCCTGAACATGTCCAGGCTGGATAGCTTCTTCCACCTGATTCTTTGACCATGGCTCAGATCACTTATCCTCTGCCTTTTTTTTTTTGTCCTGGGCTTGCGCTGGGCCTGGGTGCTATCCCTGGGCTCTTTTTGCTCAAGTCTAGCTCTTTATCACTTTGAGCTGTGGATCAAATTTGAGATAAGAGTTTAAAAGACTTTCCTGCCCAAGCTGGCTACAAACTGTGATCCTTCGATCTTGGCCTCCTGAGTAGCTAGGATTACAGGTGTGAGCTGTCAGTGCCTGGCTCCCTCTGCCATTCTTGTCTTTCTGCCTTCCAATAGGAATTCATTATATTGGGCGTATGCAGGAGGGCAGCACTGGCCGTTTTATCTTGGACCAGATCACCGAAGGGCAGCTGGACTGGGCTGCTCTGTCCTCGCCCTTTGACATCATGATACTAGAAGGGCCTAATGGCCGAAAGGAGTACCCCATGTACAGTGGGACAAAAGCATACATTCGAGGCCTGAAGGAGAAGTTTCCCCAGGAAGAAGCTGTCATTGACAAGTATATGAATCTGGTTAAGGTAAGGTGCATGACATCCTTAGGAACCCCAAGTTATTCCCAAAGTAGGGGGGGCGGGGGGAGGCACCCACTCTCCTCCCTGGTTAGGCTGAGTTGACTTCTTTTCTTTGAAAAGGAATTTGAACAGGTAATTAAAAAGCAACAAAAGGCAAGGTGCCGGTGGCTCACACCTGTAATCCTAGCTACTCAGAAAGCTGAGATCTGAGGATCACAGTTCAAAGCCAGCCTGGGCAGGAAAGTCCGTGAGACTCTTATCTCCAATAAACCACTAGAAAACCAGAAGTGCTGCTCTGGCTCAAGCAGTAGAGCGCTTGCCTTGAGCTGAAGAGTGCAGGGACAGCGCCCAAGCCCAGAATTAAGCCCCACGACCGGGGGGGGGGGGGGGGGTGGGAGAGGGGGGGGCCAGGGCAGGTATACAGGATGGGAGAATTCAGAGTCTAGCTTGTTTTTAAATACAAATTCAGCCAAGATCAGCCAGGAATAAGTGTTGCTGGGCCCACCGTCTGGTAGAATGGTAACTATTGCTTCAATCCCAAAGATGAGAACTGCTACCCATAGCTGGTTTTCTTTCCCAGGCAGTTTCTAATGGAGCTGCTCATGCCATCATCCTGAAGCTGCTCCCGTTGCCTGTGGCTCAGCTCCTCAGCAAGTGTGGGCTGCTGACTCGCTTCTCTCCATTCCTCCGTGCCTCCACCCAGAGTCTGGCTGAGGTCCTGCGCCAGCTGGGGGCCTCCCCTGAGCTCCAGGCTGTGCTTAGCTACATCTTCCCCACCTATGGTGTGTACTGGCCACAGATTCTTGGCAGCTCCTCGAAGGATAAGCCAGCTGCCCTGCACCTCTCCATCTTTCTTCCTGAACCTGTCTGGCTGTCTGAAATGGAGCAGAATAGACCCCAGGCCCTTGTGGATGAGAAATCTGACTCCTCCCCTTTGGATCTCCTGGTAGTGATTCCCTTCATGCCGTCCAGAAATCCCTTCAGCCAGTGCTGCATTCCTTCCTCTTGGCAGAATGGCAGATTTCAGGGACTCTATTCCCACCAGCCCCAGAACTGAATGGTGCCTATGTTGGTGTGGACACAGCTCTTCTGATGGCCTTTGGCCCTGGAGAACACATATATCTTCAGATGGACTGCGTGTGTCACCTATCAGGAAACTATTTCCCCCTGAGTGATTCTGGGTGCCTGCTCATCATTTTTTCCCTTTTTTCTGTAGGTGTGACCCCCAGCCGCACTACTTTTTCAATGCATGCTCTGCTGGTTAATCACTACTTAAAAGGGGCCTTTTATCCCCGAGGGGGTTCCAGTGAGATCGCCTTCCACACCATCCCTCTGATTGAGCGGGCTGGGGGTGCTGTGCTCACCAGGGCTACTGTGCAGAGTGTGCTGTTGGACTCAGCCGGGAAAGCCTGTGGTAAGAACCTTGAACTGGGTAGTGGGGTCGCTGTTCTGGTGTGAGAGAGACCTGAGGTCCTCCTGATGAACTGACCTCACACAGGGTGAAAGATGAGAATCTACTGCAGAGCAGGAGCTGGGGGATAGGATAGCAATTAGTCTGGAAATAAAAGGAAGTAAGAAGGATAAAGGAATGGACGGGCCTCAAAGAATAGTACTTAATCATTTGTTTGATAGATAAACATAACCAGTATCTGTGACCACCTTGATAGAGGGAAGTGTCTTCCTATGTCTGCAGTCCTTCTCAATCAAAGAGGCTCAGTCAGTGTGTTGGCTCAGTGGTTGATGGAATGAATGAGCAACCTTGGTATTCTATGGGGCAGTCTGGCAGGGCATCATGCACTCCATCTGTAGTGGTAGAGTGGGGCCTTGAATCTTATCCTGGCTTAGGTTGGTACTGTTACTTTTATGATGTATGAACTCTTTGAAGAGATGGGGTGTGTGTGGAAGGACCCTTGTTAAGCAGAACCAGCTGTTCAAGATGAGAGGTACACCAATGTGGCTGGCTACAGGTGTGGGTCACACCTGTAATCCTAGTTACTTAGGAGTCTGAGATCTGAGGATTGTGGTTCAAAGCCAGCCTGGGCAAAAAAGTCTCCATGAGACTCTTTAACTACTCAAAAACCAGAAGTGGCACTGTAGCTCAAGTGGTAGAGCGCCAGTCCTGAGCACAAAGAGGCTCAGGGATAGCGTCCAGGCCCTGAGTTCAAGCCTCACAACCGACCAAAAAAAAAAAAAAAAGAGCAGCAATGCTAAAAACAACAACAACAAAAAACACAACTCTCAGGGAGGGGTTAGGAAATGCCTGAGGAAAACAAGGTTGCTGGGAACAAGTATTAGCCAGAGAGGGCTGGGAAGGTGGCTTAATGGTAGAGTGCTTACCTTGCATGCAGGAGGCCCTGGGTTTGATTCCTCAGCACCAGATAAGCAGCAAAGGCCGGAAATGGCACTGTGGCTCAAGTGATAGAGAAGTAGCCTTACCTTGAGCTAAAGAGCTGAAGGACAGCACCCAGGTCAGAGTTCAGGCCCCATGACTGACCAAAAAAAAAAAAAAAAATGCCAGAGAAACATTTAAAAAGAAGAAGGTGGTGAGAAGGTCGCCCAGAGTTATGTGCATGTTTGTACACACATATACGAAATGAAGGCCACCTGTAATCTGAGAGTATATGTTTGTAAAAGGGACTGAAAAGTTATCTCATTGTGAAAGAGACGTTGGTGTCACTTAGTTGTATCTTTCATTGTGATACTTATGAGCAAGTTGTCCTTTGAGATGAAAGGGGTCAGTGAAACTGGGTGGCATTATCAACTCAATTCAGGATCCATTTATGTTACTGGGTGTTGAAGATGCATACTAGCTACTCAGGAGGCTGAGATCTGAGGACTGAAGCTTGAAGCCAGCCCAGACAGGAAAATCTCTAAGACTCTTATCTACAGATAACCAGCAAAAAGCCAGTTGTGGAGCTTTAGCTGAAGTGGTAGTGTTCCAGCCTTATGCAAGAAAACTGATGGTGCCCAGGTCCTTAGTTCAAGCCCCAGTACCAGCATCAAAAAAGGTGTGTGTGTGTGTATTTTCATGATCTGTTAGATATAAAAGACAGAGATATAAGATCAATAAGTACGAGTCTCTGTCTCAAGTTTTCAGTCTCATAGGGAAGTAATTGAAGGGCCATTGATGAGCATTTATATGAAGAGACAGCCTACACAGAGAGTGATGGATCCAGAAAGACCTCAAAGCAGTTTAAGCCACATTATGAAGGGTGAGAAGCAGCCTGGAAGTAGATAGGATTGGAAGAAGTTACAGGAAGCAGGAACAGCATGTATAGAAGCTATGAAAGAGTTGGTTATTTTCAGGCATCTAGAAAAACGATTGAACCATACAAAACTGACATTTTTATGAAAAGGTCAAAGAGTAGTTGATTAGCTATTTGATATAGTTTCATAAGAGTGGCCAGAGATGAGTCTAGACATGTAGTTAGCTTCACCAGATCACAGAAAATGGAATTTCTCTTACAGAGGTTGAGGTGTTGCTGGGGAGTCATTTGGACATAGAACTTCAGCAAAGAGGGCCTGGGTTTCCATGGAAGGGCCTCGGCTGTGTTGTGGTGGTGGGAGTTAGGAGGGGCCTTGGCTAAATTTAAACAAGTACACAGAGGGTGGGTAGAGAGAGCTTAGGAAGGTAAGAATAGACACAATTGTCACCTGAATGCCTGGGGAAACTTCCTGGTTTTGCAGTGTGCCTGAGGCCTGTCTTGTCTGGCTCTTGGCAAACTGGACTTCCAGGTCTGAGAAAATGGGGCACAAACACAGCAAGATCTGGAGAGAATACGGGCTCTTCCTGGAGTATACAGAACCTCTCCAAGTTCTTTTTGCCTACAGGTGTGAGTGTGAAGAAGGGTCATGAGCTGGTGAACATCTATTGCCCCGTTGTGATCTCCAGCGCAGGACTGTTCAATACCTACAAACACCTACTTCCAGAGAGTGCCCGCTGTCTGCCAGGTAATAGACTGAACTTCCAAGCTGCTGGCCTTTCCTGTCTGGAGCTGAGCTGTGCAACCTGGATGTTGCATTTCTTCTTGGCCATGTCTGTGCTTGTCCTTAAATGGAAAAGACCTCTGGTCTGTAAAGCCACTATCCTAATATTTATGTCTGGGGTAACTGAGGAGCCCACAAGTAAATAAACACCCACTGCCACTGGTCTGTCAGATGTGAAAAGCTGGGTTCTTGGCACTCCCCGAGCTGAGATTTGTGGGGTTTCCACAGAAAAAGCCTCACTACAAGGGAAGGAGACCCATAGGGGACATGGCCCAGAAGTTTCCTTAGGATATTATATGACTTAAAAAACCAGAGTGGGGAAGTGGCGCGGTGGCTCAAGTGGTAGAGCGCTAGCCTTGAGCTGAAGAGCTGAGGGACAGCGCCCAGGCCCAGAGTTCAGGCCCCACAACCGACCAAAAAAAAAAAAAAAAAAAAGAATATCAGCTATGAGTAAAAAAGCTGAATGAGAGCATGAGCCCCGAGTTTGAGCCTCAATTCAAGCGTGGTCACATGCGTGTGCGCGCACCCCCCCCCCCACGAAAAAGTACAAAGTGATCTTGGGCTACTAGCCAGAGAGCACCAGTAGCCTAAGAGTTGACAAAGGGGTCCAAATAAAGGCTTGAGGCAATGGCAGGGGTGGGAAGGACAGAGCAGCTCAGGATGTAGCCCAGATGTGACCTTCATTGGTATCTTAAAGAACAATGGAGAAGGAAGGTGAGCTCTGTAGGGTGATCCCTATAGTCTGATACATCAGCGCCCCCCCCCCACCGCCCCATGCCTTCACCCCAAGTAGAGGAAGGTCATGGTTGCTGGGCTCTGTGACCCAGGCTCTGGGCCTGTGATGACCATCCATTATGGCAGGCATATGTGGTAGAAGGAGGCTTGTTCATCTCTGGAGATAAGAAGCAAAGAGAGGAAGGCACTGGCTTCTAAGATATTCCTTCAAGAACATAACTTAGTTACACAAATTCTTCCCACTAGGAACTGTCTTTTGTGTGTGTGTGCCAGTCCCGGGGCTTGAACTCAGGACCTTGGTGGTGTACCTCAGCTTTTTTGCTTAAGACTATTGTGCTACCACTTGAGTGACAGCTCCACTTCTGGTTTTGGGTGGTTAATAGGAGATTAAGAGTCTCACAAACTCTCTTGCCTGAGCTGGCTTTGAACCGTGATCCTCAGATCTCAGCCTCTTAAGTAGCTAGGATTACAGGCAGGGGGTGTGGCTGGCCCAACTTTTATAGGTCCCACTACATCCCAGTAACAGCACAGACTGGCAGCCCAGCCTTTCCACATGGGCCTTTGGGGAACACATCCAAACCGTAGCAGATGGACATCACCAAAATCCAGTCTCTTGTTCCTCAGGCAACATGAGCTGCCACTTTGGTCCTTCATTCCTTTCTCTGTGTGACTTCTCCTTCTTGCCTATGACCTCTGAACTTTGACACTGTCCTCTGATGGGCCTCAGTGTCCTACTCAGGCCTGTTTTTTCTCTAGGCAGTCATGTGTGAGTTACCTGAAATGCCTGTCTCTCCTCATAATGCAATTATAGCTCTCACACTTTATGTGTCTTGTTTTGTTTTGTTGGTCATGGGGCTTGAACTCTTGGCTTGGATGCTGTCCCTGAGCTCTTCAGCTCAAGGCAAGCACTCTACCACTTGAGCCACAGCACCACTTCCAGTTTCCTAGTGGTTTATTGGCGGTAAGAGTCTCATGGACTTTCTTGACCAGGCTGGCTTTGAACCATAATCCTCAGATCTCAGACTCCTGAGTAGCTAGGATTACAGATGTGAGCCAACGGCGCCCAGTACACTTTATGTATCTTAACCCCAAAAACAATTTAGTGGAGTCAGCCCCAACAGGGCTGAAGTATCAGTCACTCCCTTTGGGCAGAGGTTCAGATACCATCCCAGACAAATGCCAGTCTGAAAACTTTCTGGGCATTGGCAGTGTTGAAACTTAACTCAGAGATTCCAGATGTTAGATTCCATGATTCCCATGGCTCCCAGAGGGAGCTTTGCTTACATCCACTGCTCAGGCTGAGAGGCCACTGAGGGTGGCTCAAAAGAGAAGAGATAGAGTTCCTTGGCCCTTTCCTTCTTCTTTTTTTTTTTTTTTGTTTGTTGGTTGGTTGTGGGGCTTAAACTCAGGGTCTGGGTGCTGTTCCTGAAGGGTTTTTGTTTGCTCAAAGCCAGCACTCTACCACTTTGAGCCACAGCAGTACTTCCAGTTTTCTGGGGGTTAAAATGGAGATAAGGATCTCATGGGCTGGCTTTGAACCATGATCCTCAGATCTCAGCCTCCTGAGTAGCTAGGATTATTGCTAAGAAGCTTCTTTTCTTTCTTCCTTTCTCTTTCCTTTCTTTCTTTCCTTCCTTCCTTTCTTTCTTTCTTTCCTTCCTTTCTTGCTTGCTTGCTTGCTTGCTTTCTTTTGTTTGGTCATGGGGCTCAGGATCTGGGCACTGTCCTTGAGCTTCTTTTGCTCAAGGCTAGTACTCAATCACATTATGAGCCACTATGACACTTCTGGCCCCTTCCTTCTTGCTGGAGTAAAAAGGAAGGAGCTGAGGAGGTAGTTATGTTCTGAGAGATCTTGGAAGATCCTGTTTGCCTATACCCATCTATGCCTGCAGCTCCGCACCATGTTCCTTGACACCCCCCCTCCCCAGATTATTGTCCATAAATCTGAGCTGTGCTGTCCTGCTATAATTGTTATTAATGCTCCTTTCTCTCACATAAGGGACCTATTTAGGCTAGTAGAGTCTCCATAGTTCCTTATGGTCTGTAGTTTCTATTAAGATAGCCAGTTTGTTTTAGGGAAGTGTCTGTTCCAGGAGACAGGCCTCATATCTGACTCATCATGTGGCTGACTAGCACACACAAGTCCCAGTACATTTTAGGACATCATCTATTGTGTGTTAAACAAGGCAGAGCAGCTAATGGCTGAGTCCTTGGCCAGGTGTTAGAGATGCTCCTGAGCATGAGGTCAAATAATTTCTGGGTGTATTCTCTAGAAAAATGGAGTTCATGTGTTGAGGTGGGGAAGCCCAGCAGCTTAGGTATGGGGACAGCAGGTGTCCCACACAGGGGCTCTGGCTTTCCTTCATGATGCTGTTTTTCCCTCCTTCCTTCCTCTAGTTCAGGAGTGGGAACTATCTAACCCAGGCTGTATAAAGACCACAAAATCATTGGGACATGATGGGACAGACTCATGTTTTTCCTCAGTTTCCTGTAGCTGTGTGACTGTATTAGTCATTTGGTATGGCCAACAAATTATGTTATAAACATAACATAGAGCGGGGAATGTCACTTAGTGGTAGAGTGCTTGTCTAGCATGCATGAAACCCTGGGTTCAATTCCTCAGTACCACATAAACAGAAAAAGCTGGAAGTAGCTCTGTGGCTCAAATGGTAGAGTGCTAGCCTTGAGCAAAAGCAGCTCTGGGACAGTGCCCAGGCCCTGAGTTCAAGATAATTCTATTTGCATCTGTTCACTTGCATTATGTATCAGTTGAAGGCCCTATCCTAGTTGCATAGTATTTTAGGAATAATGACTATTCATCAGATAGTTTGTTCTTAAAGACAATTCTGAAATCTAGGTGTATAACAAAGTACTGCTCATTGTACTGTTTATAAAGAGTATTTTGCATCATCTCTGAATATAAAGACATAAGGGGAGGATTGAGGCAGTTAGCTTGACTGTTCAGCAGGGTGCTGTGAGCCAGTGGGAGGCCAGTACCTGTGAGAAAGGTGCTTAGAGCAGAGGTGAGTGGAGTTGGAGTCTGAGGCTGATAACAGCCAGGAGGAGACAGAAGAGCAATTACCTGCCTGCCTGCCAAATTCCTGTAGGGCGCTTTTGTAATCCTAGCTACTTGGGAAGCTGAGAGTTGAGGATCACAGCAGGAAAGTCCATGAGACTCTTACCTCCAATGAACCACTCAGAAAACTGGAAGTGGCGCTGTGGCTCAAGTGGTAGAGCACTAGCCTTGAGCTTAAGAGCTCAGGGGCGGTGCCCAGACCCAGAGTTCAAGCCCCACAACTGACAAAAAAAACAAAAAGAATGGCCTAGACGAGGCATATTTTTTCTCTTTCTTTTTTAAAGTCTTTTTTTTTTTTAACCTTATGTATGATGTATTCATCTTTGGAAGGGTTGGGGGGAGGGTACAGAACTTGGGGTCAGGGGCAAGGGTGAAAAAGTACAGGAGTGGAATTCACTGGACACTGATGGAAGTGAAACTATACAACTTGTGGGTAGAGACAGGAGGGAGGGACTGGGAGATAACGAGGACGAAGATATTGTATGAAAGAAAATGTACTCACTGCCGGGTGCCAGGTGGCTAGCTACTCAAGAGGCTGAGACCTGAGGATCGTGGTTCAAAGCCAGCCTGGGCAAGAACGTCTGTGAAACTCTTATCTCCACTAAACCACTCAGAAAACCCAAAGTGGCACTGTGGCTCAAGTGGTAAGAGCGCTAGTCTTGAGCTGAAGAGCTGAGGGACAGTGCCCAAGCCCCACAACTGCCAAAAAAAAAGACAAAAAGAAAATGTACTCATTACCTGACTCATGTAATTGTAATCCTCAGTATATCATCTCTATAATAATTATTTTAAAAAGACTAAAAAAATGGGTTAGACCCTTTTATGGCTGCAGCTGAAGTACCCCAAATGAACAATCATCCTAGGCTGTTAAGGCAGCAGTGGCCATCTTTAGCCATACAGTTCTCAGTCCTGACTCCATTTGCAGGTGTGAAGCAGCAGCTGGGGATGGTGCGGCCTAGCATGGGCATGCTTTCCGTTTTCATCTGTCTGAAAGGCACTAAGGAAGACTTGGGTCTGCAGTCCACCAACTATTATGTTTATTTTGACACTGACATGGACAAAGCGTAAGGCATGGGGAAGGAGGAAGGTGTGTGGTGAGAGGGTAGCCCATAGTCTGCAACCATTAGGAATTTCATTTTTGTACTTGACTTGGGAATGAGTGGTAGGATATGGCATGGGAGGAGGTAGGCAAGTTCCTCTGGACTCTTGGAAGGATCTTTTAACACCAAGGCTGTACATCAGTTTCACCCCTATGGGGGGTCTCGGGGGATGAGCCATCCTTGGGTGGGGCTGGTAGCCTTGAGAAAAAAGGCCTGTGCATTGACAGCACAACTTCCTCTCATCCACAGGATGGAAAACTACATCTCTGTGCCCAGGGAAAAGGCTCCAGAACACATCCCATTTTTTTTCATAGCTTTCCCATCAGCTAAGGACCCAACTTGGGAGGACCGATTCCCAGGTAGGGCTTAAGATGGTGGGAGTGGAGCTTGGGAAGTGGAAAGGAGTGGGACCCGACAGCCAGTAACTGGCTTTTCATCCCCAGGCCGATCCACAATGATCTTCCTGATGCCCGCTGCCTTTGAGTGGTTTGAGGAGTGGCAGCAGGAGCCACAGGGAAAGCGAGGCATTGACTACGAGACGGTCAAAAACTCCTTCGTTGAAGCCTCTATGTCGCTGGCCATGAAACTGTTTCCACAGCTGGAGGGGAAGGTAGGGCCAAAGCATACAATAGCAGTGGTGATGGCATATTTCTTGGTGACCTTACAGTAGAATAAACCCCAAGATAACTGAGCTCCAGAGAATGATGGAGTGCCCAGCCAGAAAGAAGAGACAGAGCTCTCAAAATTTCCCATTCAGTTAGGGGCAATGGGTGACAATGTTATCAGACACTTAGTATTCATATACTGTTTTATAGAATAGGGACTTCTTTGTACAACTACATAAAGATAGTAAAAAATTAAAAACTTTAAAAACAAGTGTTCCATTCACCCCTTGCCTGCCTTCTGTTTGCCGGTCCAGGTGGAGAGTGTGACTGCAGGATCCCCACTTACCAACCAGTTCTTCCTGGCTGCTCCACAAGGTGCGACCTATGGTGCTGACCATGACCTGAGTCGTCTACATCCTCATGTGATGGCTTCTATAAGGGCCCAAAGCCCCATCCCCAACCTTTACCTGACAGGTATGCTGCCCGACCTTGCCAAGATCTTGGGTCTCCCTGGTGATCAGTCCTCTGGTCTTGCTATCGTCTGCAGCTCCCATTCTAGGAGGATGCTGGTCTGGTTCTGTGCTGAAGCCACCTCTGCATAGCTCTAGCACAGAGAGATGTATACAAACACCCTTGTTCTCCTCTTACTCTCTATGTGTGTGGACATTTAGGGGCCTGTGTTCTTGCCTCATAGGTCAGGATATCTTCACCAATGGCCTGATGGGGGCCCTGCAAGGGGCCTTGCTGTGCAGCAGCGCCATCCTGAACCGGAACCTGTACTCAGACCTTAAGGCTCTTGGAGCAAGGGTTCAAGCACAGAAGAAGAAGATGTAGTGTGGTCAGGGAAGAGTCAAAGGAATTGCACCTCTCCAACTTATTATATCCTTCTGTATTAGTCCTTTGCGAACATAAAACACACTCATTTCTTATTGCTGAGCAGAAGGTTAGCATAAATTACAGCTCTGCTGGAGCTCTCTGTATTATGCTGTTTCTACTAAATACCTAGTCGAGACTGTCAATATGCATTAAGTCTTGGTGCCTCATCCTAATCAGTGTTCTGCAACCCTTTCCGATGCCCCCTAACTCTTAACCATCGAATTTAATATTCATTCAGAACCCCTGAATGTTGGTTCCGTGCTAACCTGAGATTTTTCTTCCCTTTCACTCTTGATGTTGCTCTGAGTTCTATACCATCAGAGTGGTCAAAACCTAGGCATGGCCAAGCGCCGGTGGCTCACACCTGAAATCTAGCTACTCAGGAAGCTGAGGATCGCAGTTTGAATCCACCTGGGGCAGAAAAGTCCTCGTGAGACTCATCTCCAATAAACTACTCAAAAAAGCTGGAAGTGGCACTATAGTTCACGTGGTAGAGTGCTAATCTTGAGCACAAAGAGGCTCAAGGGTCAGTACCTAGGTCCTGAGTTCAAGACCCAGGACCAGAAAACAAACCACCTCTACCAACAACCCAGGCATGGTTTGGTTGTAGTCCCAAGAAATTCAGGGCTGGGAATGTGGCTCAGAGGTAGGGTGCTTGCCTTGCATGCATGAAGCCCTGTGTTTTATTCCTCAGTACCACATAAACAGAAAAAGCTGGAAGTGGTGCTGTGGCTTAAGTGGTAGTAGAGTGCTAGACTTGAGCAAAAGAAGCTCAGGGACCGTGCCCAGGCCCTGAGTTCAAGCCCCAGGACTGGCAAAGAAAAAGAAAAGAAATTCAGAGGGTTCCAGGTCTCATTTTTTTTCTGGCTCTCTTGGAGTCAGGACAGGCTCATTGTGTTTCTGGAGGTTGGGGGGATAATGACAAGACTTACTAGTTAGTTAGCTGTATGTTAGAAGGTAAGATCCAGTTAGTAGACAACTGAGTCCCAAATATATCTTATTATAGTGTGACAAAATGATTCTCCAAATGCCAGTGCCAAGACACCCTCAGTATTTGAGTCTCAAGCCTTGTTCTTTAAAATATTCAGGGATAGAGACTGGGAGCTGGGCACTGATGGCTCACACCTATAATCTTAGCTTCTCAGGAGGCTGAGATTTGAGGATCACAGTTCAAAGCCAGCCTGGGCAGGAAAATCAATGAGACTCCTATTAACCACAAAAAAAGCCAGAAGTAGAGCTGTGACTCAACTGGTAGAGTGCTAGCCTTGTGCACAAAAGCTCACAGACACCACTCAGGCCCTGAGTTCAAGTGCTAGGACCAGCAAAAAGAAAAAAGATTAAGGGAGGCTGAAGGGTTATTCCAGGTCTAAGTCAAATATACAGCAAGGAAATCACTGAGGCAATGGTATTTCTCATGGCAGCAGCTTAGCAAGCTCCTAGATAGGACCTGACCTTTCTGGTAGGAGTAGGGATGGGAGTCTAAAGTCAGGACTGAAAGGCATAGAATGTGCACAAAGCCCAGGAGTGGCATTTATAGTTTGCTGGTATATGTAAAAGTTGAGCGTTCTTTTTCAGAAATGCTCAGAATCCAATTTGTTACTAGCTTTTCCCCCCCTCCCCCAGATTTTGGAATATTTGCATACAAACAAGAAATCCTGAGGATAGGACCAGGTCTAAATACAGAATTCACTCAGGTGAATACATACTTACATACTTTGTGTATGTAAGTACAGAGTAATTTTATACACTATTAAAAGTAATTCTAAATAATTCTGTGCATTTTGACTGAACTGTCAGTGAGGCCCTCAAATAACTCCATTTTAGAACATTTCAGATTATTCAACGTGTGTGAAGAATGGGTGTGAAGGTGAATAAAGGCTAAAAGTTAAGAAAAATAACCTTTTACTTTTGTTAACACTGAAGCACCAAGGGCTTTATTTTAGTCCATTTTAATATACTGTTCATAAATTCAATGGTTTCATTACTTTAATTGAAATTTATTTTGGTTTCTGTTCACTGACAACACATTGGAATGACATTTACAGAAGCTTGGTACAACATATACTGAAAAATGACTATCATTAGATCACAATATGCCTTAAAAAAATAAAATTCATTAAGTTACAAAAAGCTGAAAATATAAACATTACTCAACAGTGGTTATCTACTAATTGGGCAAAGGAAACAGTTTCAACAATAATTTACTTAACATAGTTTTTTTTTGGCCAGGCCTGGGGCTTGAACTCAGGGTCTAGGCTCTGTCCCTGAGCCTCTCTGGGTGCAAGGATAGCACTCTGCCACTTGAGCTACAGCACCACTTCTGGCTTTTTCTGTTTATGTGGTACTGAGGAATCAAACCCAGGCTTCCTGCATACTACGCAAGCACTCTACCACTGAGCCACAGTCCCAGCCCCTTAACATAGTCTTAGGAGCTAAATACCTATCAGTGTATGGGACTGGCTGTGTTGGCAGTTGGAAATACTACTCAGCTCAGACCTAGACCTTTTACAGAAGAGGTTCTACATTGGAATATTTAGGAAATTCACATCTGACTCATGGGACTAAGTGAACTGAGTCACTCTTGGCTCTGAGTGTACAGTTAAATTTAAACCTTAAAAATTTCTAACAAGCATTTCTTAAGCAATGCTAAATTCAACCTTCCTAGCAAGGGTTTTCAGAAAACAGTCTAGCAGAACCACAGGTCTGGTTCTAGCACACTCTCTTAAGTGCTCTAGCTTTCGATCATATACTAGCATTATCTATCAGCTTATTGTGTAAAAATAGAAGAAAATAAGCTTCACTACCAAGAGAAATCTGCAGGTAGAATTGTATCACCAATTGGTCTACTCAAAGACATCATGAGGGAAAAAATGTCAGAATGTACAGCTTTGGTCAGGTCTTTCCAAGTTGCCTTAGCCTGTCTAGAGGAACTGGCCTTTAATTCTGAGTCTAGGAATGGAGTCTAAACAATAAACTCAGTAATCCATAGAAGAAAAATGAGTTTTATTAGTATCCATGACTCGAGCAAATTCCTCTTAACAGCAATTGACATTCAGTGAAAAGCTAGGGCAGGAAGGGAAGACTGTAATGGTCTGTACAAGGAGGCCTGAAGCTCCACATGCTTCATATCTGTGCCCCCTCCCCTACCCCAGACCCTGGCTCAATGCCTCCAGACAGTTCACTCACATTCACACAATCTTTAGGAAAGATGCTTCAAATGTTCTATCTTGCTGGGGATCTGTGGCTCATGTCTGTAACCTAGCTACTTAGGAGGCTGAGATCTGAGGATCATGGTTCAAAGCCAGCTGGGGCAGGAAAGTCCTCGAGACTCTTATTTCCAATAAAAAACCACTAGAAAACTGGAAGTGGTACTATAGCTCAATTGATAGAGTGCTCGCCTTGAGCTGAAGAGTGCAGGGACAGCGCCCATGCCCAGAGTTCAAGCCCCACGATCAACAAAAAAAAAAAAGAAAAAAAAAGTTCTATCTTCAAAAAGACAACCATCCTGAAAATAAATTTTCCCTTGGTGGGAGATAGATAATTCAATATAATCTCTTTCAGCACAGGAATCATACTTCTCTGGTAGAAATGGACTCTGGCAATCCTAATGTTTCTACTTGCTGTCCATCTTTCTTCTCTCCTCTTTAAGAGCAAAAGCCAACATCTATGAGATCATAGCCACTAGCCCTCAGTTAAGTGACATCCAGATGACATGAAGCAAACCTACCGAAGTCAATGCTTAAAGTCCTTAAGTGTCACTAACACTAGGCAGATGCAAAAATGCCAAGGGCTGTCTCTGAGCTTAGTTTTCTTGGAGAGACCAGAGCAACATCAGATAACTGCTCTGTTCTGCTGAAGTTCCAAATGAACAGCATTATTAAGAGTTATCAGAGTAAGCCAGGAATTGGTGGGTTACTCCTGTAATCCTAGTTTCTCAGGAGGCTGAGATCTGAGGATTGTAGTTCAAAGCCAGTTTGGGCAAGAAAATCCATGACATATCTCCAATTAACCACCAGTCCCCTGTTTCCCTCGCCCCCCCCAAATAAAAAAGCCTGAAGTAGAGTTTTGGTTTAAGTGGAATGAGTGCTAGTCGAGCTCAGAGACAGTATCCAGGCCCTGAGTTCAAGCCCCCAAAAGACTAGCACATACACAAAAAGTTATCAGAGTAGAACAGAAAGGGCTAGTGTAGGATGGGGCAGTAAAGAACAGGATGATCTCAGCAGAATGAGAGAAGGGAAGAAAGAAAATCAACCACCACAGAAAGCTGTGAAAGGGGGGGAAATGAGGAAAGGCAGAGACACAGATACTCAAGATGGAAGGTTGTCAACTGAAGAATTCTTTCGAATTACAAGACTCTATAACTTGATTAAGCCATGAGATGGATGGTCCAGACTGAAGCCTGACACTAGGGCAAGTAAACCATAAAGATCAGTATTTCTAAGACTGCTCTTTCCAAGAATATGGACAGGAGAAACAATTAAGTGGCCTTGGGCTTGCTAGGCAGGCACTCTTAACCATTTCTCTCTCTCTTCTCTCTCTCTCTCTCTCACACACACACACACTGTTCAAATGTCTACAGAGACTTAAAAAAAACACTTGGATAGGACTTCTGTGATGAGAAAAATGGTAGACCTTTTCATAGAACTCAATGATTTCAAAGACTAGGGTAGCTGAGAGGGACAGCTTGAGGAGGCAGTAATGCAGACTTAATGATAACAGGACAACTTAGCTGAACTATTCAGCATTTAGCAGAAGTGGGTTCTTTAGGAAGCAGGCTAAAGATAAAAGACAGGAGTCACTTGGAGGATGAAGAATGGAGGAATTTTTGAGGAAACAAAGGAATGGGTCTGGTTCTGAGGGCCTTTTCCCCCTCCAGAATAATGATAAGGCAAAAGACAGTTGCCAGAGATACCTGGGAAGATGAATCTCAATAAATATGGTCAATTAGCATTCAATCCTAGCAAACAGTAATACTAAGCTTGAGAATCAGCCACTGGATTTGGTGATCTGATAAATGAATAACCTTTGGAAAAAGAAGGAATCAAAGTGAGTTTGTTGTCGTGATGAGAACGAATGACAAGATAATGGAAGCAACCTATTAGAACAGCAGAAGAGCACAATGATCAGCAAATAAGATGGGTGACTAGAAAATCATCAAAAGAAGGTACTAGAGGGGATAGGCACAAAGAAAAAAATGCCAGAGGAGGGGGGGACAAAAGGGGAGGCAGACAGGAGAATAAAATGACCATGGTCAGAGATTTCTTAAGTTGGGGGGTGGGGTCTCTGGAATTAACTCCTTGGATAGGTGAGGGATCATTGTATTAAGACTTGTGCATAGCAGACACAATGATACCAAGAGAAGTATACACTGATTCTCTATCCCCATTAAGTGTGTTACTTGCCAAGAATGTAAATTACAACTCTAAGCCAGGTACTATTGTCAGCAAGGTAGAAGATACTTTATCAGGATGGTCTCTTTTTTAGACTGCTCAACAGAGTTCATCTTACCTCCTCCTCCTACATTCTTTGCATGTCCCTGAGATTAGCTGAGATTCACCTCTCTTTAGGCAGACTGAAATAAAACTTTGAACAACAGTGTCGTCTAAGACACTACTCTCAGTTACTTCAGGGGAGCCCACTGGACTTCTTAAAGTTTAAGGACCCCTAAAATGAAAACAAAAACTTCTACTAGTTATCCTTAATATTTTAGAGGAGAGGACCATTAAACAGATTAAAGTAAAATGTGCACAATGCATTTAGTTTCTAAATATAAATATTTTCTCTATTTTAGACAACAAAGGTGAAGAAGTTTGTGGGAAACCTGTTATATAAAGCCCTTTGGGGGGGGGGAACAGACTAAAACCCTCCTATATGGTTTCTTACACATAATATGAATTTGCCCATTTTCAGGAAGTTCTACTGATTACAAATGTAGGAAAGGAGACACTGTTTCAATAATCATAAGCACGTTTATAAAGCAATCTGATGGGACAGTGGCTTTACTCCCAGAAACCCTAAGTTCAGTTTTGTGCTCACAAAAGAAAAATGCAGAGAACTATACTTGATTAATTAAATTTACAGGCAATAAAGCACTTTTAGCCTGCTATTTTGGTTTGCTCTTAAACTCTTTGAAGTAAATTTCATATCCAAAATAGTCCTCTGCCCATCAGCATTTCATCATCTTCTAAAAGGGTGTATCAATTCAAAAGAGGCCTTAGTAGAAAAAACTTTTGATTACAGAGTTTTCTCTTAGTTCTGCAAAGATAAATAGTGCAATGCTACAGTCAAGAGCTAACTTCACTACAGAGCCAAAGCCAAGGGAGGGTGGTCAGCAGTATAGCCTGCCCAGGGCTGGAGTCTCCTTTTGGTCATAGCCGTGTTTCCACATGCTCCCTTATTCACATTCAAGAGGAAGAAAGGATGAATGGAACACTTCAGCATCAAGGGAACACAAAAGTACAATGGTCACAGAGCACAGTATCACCAAAGTACAGGTGCAAAACCCAAAGCAATCAATCCCCTGTCTTTGCCAGCCCAGACTTGCCACCAAACCCCAGAGGAGGTCACAGTATTTTTCATTTCTCTTGATTTGGAAACAAATCAGCAGGGAGGACAAAGTTCTTGAAGATGTAGATCAAAGCTGAAATGAGAGCAACATAGTCTGTTGGTAACAGTTACCTTTCTCAGAGGAATACAACTATGACTTTGGAGAAATAAAAGATCATATAAGAACTGCAGCTAAGGGGCTGGGAAGGTGGCTGAGTGGTAGAATGCTTGCCTTGTATGCATGAGGCCCTGGGTTTGATTCCTCAGCACCACATAAGCAGAAAAAGCCAGAAGTGGCGCTGTGGCTCAAGCAGTAGAGCACTAACTAGCCTTGAGCTGAAGAGGTGATAGACAGCGCCCAGGCCCAGAGTTCAGGCCCAGGACCACCACCACCACCACTAACAAAAGAACTGCAGTTAATAGAAACAACAATTAATGAAAATAATAACCCACAAAATCAACCACATTAATGAGCCTTAAAACCAGTTTAAAATAAAACATATTGTCTGGTTGGTGGCTCACACCTGTAATTCTAGCTACTCAGGAGGCTGAGATTTCAGGATTATAGTTCAAAGCCAACCTGCGCTGGCAAAGTCCTTGAGACTTTATCTCCAATTGACTATTTAAAATTAGAAATGGAGATGTGGCTCAAGTTAGAGAAAATAAGTTATTAGAGAAAGTAGTAGGTCTATAAAAGTGACCTAACACCTATCAGCTATTGAAGTCGATCTGAGTGGCTCATTCTGTAGCTGGTGATGAGCTGTACAAGTGAACTGTGTTCCTGTAGGAAGTCTTGGACAATTTACACCTAGGTCACTGTTCTATGCCAATGCCCTCTCTACTGCTAAACAGGATAGGTAGGAAGAATGCATGTTGGCAACAACTCAGTGAGAGTACACACTTCCTGCTTTGACAGGTTACCTTTGGGGAGAACTCTGCTCAGCACTTGCTGCTGTGTGATTAAAAGAGGGCTCTTTTCCCTGGCAGAGGCAGACTGTACTCAGGAGGTAGTGCCACAGTGCTGATCTGGGAAGTTGTGTTTCTGGGCTCATTTGTTTTCAGAGTTTAGTCTAGTACTTTGCCACATAAAGTGTGTTTCCAGGAGTATTTGGTATCCCCTGGAAACTTCCTGGAAATAAAAACACATAACACCTATGTATCTATCACCTACCAAGTTACTCAGATTTTGACAAAATATGCACCTGTCATCCCAGCTACAATGGAAATTGTAAACAGGAGGAATACAATTCAGGCCACCGTGGGCAAAAAGCGTGACCTATTTCAAAAATAATTGGAGTAGCTGGGTGCCCATAGCTCACAAGTCTAATTCTAGCTATTCAGAAGGCTGAGATCTGCGAATCATAGCCAGTCTGAGCAGGAAAGTCCATGAGACTTATCTACAATTAATCAAAAAAACCAGAAGTGGAACTGTGGCTCAAGTGGTAGAGAGCTAGTCCCGAGCAAAAACAGCTCAGGGACAGTGCCAAGGCTTTAAATTAAGTTCAAATCCCGTAACAGGCTCTCTCTCTCTTTCTCTTCTCTCTCTCTCTCTCTCACCCCCCCCCCCACATACACACACAAGGAAAAAAAAACAGGGTTTGCAAAAAAACTAGTATAGTGAAAAAGGCTCACAACTTGGGAACTGCTCTCGGTACTGATGTTGCCACTAACTTGGAGTGAAAACTTAGGAAAGAAATGTTAATGTTTCTGGGCGGGCCTGTTACTTTATCTGTGAAGGGAGGGAGAGAACTAAACGCTATCTTCCAGCTCTAACCTTGTCCATCTGTGTACAGTATGTGGATAGAGTGTGTGGTTCCAGTCAAGAGGGCAATGGCAGCTGCGTCCCCATCATCAGCCATCACGCCAAACACAAGCCCAGTGGTTACACCCATCTGGGGTTCCACATCCTTCCATGCACCTACTTGGTTTCTTCTTTCTTACCTTTAGATTCAGACGTTGGTAGTCACTAGCCTTTGGCCTACGAGTGACTTTGGATCTTTTTCCTTCCAAAGCAAAAGCAATAATCTGGGGGAGAAAAAAGCAAATAGCGGGTCACTCTTTGAGTCTTCCAGTAGGTACCAACCTAGTAGTTAATTTGTTAATAACCCTGACAGCAGAAAAGGCGGGGGGGGGGAGGGGGGTAAGGGGGGGACACATCCACAAGAAACCTAAACTTTTGGCAGTGCTGGGGAATCAAACATGCAAACATGCTAGGCAAACACTCCACCAGGCTCAAAATGAGATGTGGCTTAGTGGTAAAGCCTCTGCCTAGTATGTGTGAGGTACTGGGTTCAATCCCTAGCACCGCTTTAAAAAAAATCATAAAGATTTTGAGAAGGGATAGGTCCTAAATACATCAAAATCCTTTATACTGCCTATTGGAAATAATGGAGGATGGTTGTTCTGTGCTCTAACTTGTGCAATTCTGTATGATTTAATCTAGGTTACTCAAAGATCTGCCAAGCTCTTCCCACAGAGCACTAGAATTGCTTTGTCTTTAAATCAAAATCAGTAACTATTTCCTATATGTAAATATATTCTTTTAGAGTTGTTGATTCATCAACAACTTCATTTTTTTTTTTTTTTTTTGGCTAGTCCTGGGGCTTGACCTCAGGGCCTGGGCACTGTCCCCAAGCTGCTTTTGTTCAACCCTTGCACTCTACCACTTGGGCCACAATGCCACTTCTGGCTTTTTCTGTTTATGTGGTACAGAGGAATCGAACCCAGGGCTTAATACATGCTAGGCAAGCACTCTACTACTAAGCCACATTCCCAGCTCTTCCCTCACTTTTTATGGCAGGAGACCTAATGGCAATCATGAACTGGATCTCTCCAATTTTAACCAGGTTGCTGAAAACTTCTAAATTCTCAGGGTTGAATAGGAAATGTAGTCATTTGGCATTAAGAGTGGTTGCTAAGGGACACTGGTTATCACTTCACACCAAATTCTGTTAAAGAAAAGATGGCCAGGCACTGGTAGCTCATACCTGTAATCCTAACTACTCAGGAGGCTGAGATCTGAGGATAACAGCTGGAAGACAGCCCAGGCAGAAAAGTCCCGTGAGACTTTTACCTCTATTTAACTACTCAAAACCGGAAGTGGAGCTATGGCTTAAAAAGTGGTAGCTCACAAGTGTAATCCTAGCTACTCAGAAGGCTGAGATCTGAGGATCATAGCCAGTCGGAGCAGGAAAGTCCATGAGACTATCTCCAATTAACCACAAAAAGCCAGAAGTGGAACTGTGGCTCAAGTGGTAGAGGGTGTCTCCTGCTAGCCTTGAGCAAAAGAACTCAGGGATAGCACCCAGGCCCTGAATTCAGGCCCCAGCACAGACCAAAAAGAAAAAAGAAAAGGTGTGCAATCTCAGGGCTTCTAATATCAGTGACTGCAGAAGAGGGTCCTCTTGGGCTTTTGTAGTTTATATGCATGGTAAAGGGAAAGATAAGAGATACAACTGTCAAGTACTCAGGCCCAAGGAGGCTGTGCAGGACCTGAGTTCAAGGTTTGAAAGGAATTCTTTTTTTTTTTTTCTTTCCCCAGTACTGGGGCTTCTTGATCTCGAGGCCTGGGCACTTTACCCTTTAACTTTTTTCACACCCACTTGAACTACAGCCCCACTTCTAGTTTCTTGGTAGCTAACTGGATAAAAGTGTTTTATGGGACTTTCCTCCTTAGCTGCCTTGAACTGCGATCTGAGCACCTCCTGAGTAACTAGGATTACAGACAGGGGTTTAGCCACGAGTGCCTGGCAGGAGATCCCATTTTTAGGTTTGTTACAAGCATCCTTACAGCAGCAGCACTCCAAGGAGGCAAGTCCCATAATGAAAACACACGATTTTCAAAATAAGAGCAAAGAACCCTAGTAGGGTCTGAAGAAAACAGAATTTTGTCTTAAAATTCCCAGTGTTGCCAGACATGGTGGCTCACGCCTGTAATCCTAGCTACTCAGGAAGCTGAGATCTGAGGATTGTGGTTCAAAGCCAGTCTGGGTAGGAAAGTCTGTGAGACTCTTATCTCCAATAAACCACTCAGAAAACTGGAAGTGACGCTGTGGCTTAAGTGATAAAGTGTTCACCTTGAGCTGAAGAGCTGAGGGACAGCACCCAGGCTCCAAGTTCAAGCCCCGCGACAAAAAAAAAAAAAAAAAAATCCCAGTGTTCACAGGCAGGTGAGCAAGTGGACATTTGCCCTTTCAGCAGACTTTCAGATTGGAGGAAATTCCACTTGCTCAACTTACCTTCCGCTTGTTGTGATAGGCAATATAGAGCACAGCCACAAGAATGGCAGCGGTCACTAGATATGCAAAGAAATGACTGCTCTCTGCGTGGGCACTCCCAGGATTGTCCTTATAAAGGTCATCTTTCCCATTACTCATAGGATCCAAAAGTGTCCCTTCACGGTTGTCACTGGAGGCAGGGCCGGGCACGTTTTCTTTCTCTTCATCGGGAGGTGGGCCCTCTGCAATCTCTGAATCCCCTTCAGTCTCCTTGGGCTCCACTTCCTCAGTGGGTTCTGAAGGCTTTTCCTCGCCCTCCTGCTGACGAGAAGAGAGCTCAGAGTCCACTGTCAGTGTCTCCCCAGATTCTGTTTTGGAAATCTGTGGAGGCGTCTCTCCTCCATCTAGCTGGATTTCGTCAGTCTTGGGGGTCTCCTTAACAGAGGGGCTGGAGTTAGGCTTGTTGGAGACTCCTTCTGGGGACTGCTCCTTCGTGACTGTGGGCTTGGCCGACTTTCCTTCCGCAGACTTCGTCTCAGTTCTCACAGGGTTAGAGTGTTCTTCCGCAGACTTCGTCTCAGTTCTCACAGGGTTAGAGTGTTCTTCCGCAGACTTCGTCTCAGTTCTCACAGGGTTAGAGTGTTCTTCCGCAGACTTCGTCTCAGTTCTCACAGGGTTAGAGTGTTCTTCCGCAGACTTCGTCTCAGTTCTCACAGGGTTAGAGTGTTCTTCCGCAGACTTCGTCCCTGGCTCTACAGGGTTGCGGGATTCCACTCCTTCCCTGGCCTTCAGCTCCGACCCCGAGGAGTTGGTAGACTCTCTTCCCCCAGGCTTAGAGGATGTTCCTTCCGCTGACTTCAGCCTCATCTCGGTCTCAGGCTGCTTCTTGATGGCATTTCCGGAGTTTTGTTCCTGGGCCTTCGGCTCAGGGTGGGTGGCTTCTTGGCCCGCAGCCTGCGGTGGCGGTTGCGGGTCCCCCGGTTTGCCCGGGCTTCCTACGGCCGAAAACGTCGGTAACACTTCCCCAGGATTATTCTTGGGCCGGGCGGTTGTACCCGGCAGGCTGGTAGATGGACTGTGGGTGGCTGACAGCACCTGGTCTCCTGAAATAGAAAAACCCAGAACCACCTGGATCGGGGAAATCGAGAGAACAGAAAGGGAAGGGTGAGGGGCGACCCGGGAAGGAGGCGGGGAAGGCAGCGGTGGGAGGCGAGAGAGCGCTGGGGGGGGGAGGAGGGGGCCGACAGGGGCCGAAGCTAGCCCAGGTCTGGCCTGGGGGCGAGGGGGGGGAAGGGGTCTCACCAGCCTCGACGACACTGAGCAGGAGCAACGACACCAGGAACAGCATCCTGGACATTCTGCGCTTCCGCCTTCCACTGTTCTCGCGAGAGCCGCCAGCAAGAACCCCAAGCTCGTGGCCACGCCCCTTCCGGCGCGCGTCTCTCCGCCCGCCAGGCGGGAGCGGGAGCGGGAGCGCGGCGGGCGGTGGGCCTGGAGCGTAGGGTCTGGCGTTCCTTACTGTCGCGGGATGAATGCAACTCTTTCTGCTTGCCTTTCTCTTCAGCAGCCACGACAGACCGGAACTTCCTTTTCTGTTCTCTCACCTCGCATATCCGAGAGTATAGAGGCAGGGCCAAAGCCCCTCTCCGGTTCAGGCCCCTCTTTCTCATCCTCGGCTCCCATTTATCTGCCTTCCTTTCTGATGCTTCTTTCTCAACTGAACACAGAGGCCTGCGTGGCCAGGTCCTTCCCAAACTCACCCCATCACGTTTCTAGCAGTAGGTTTAGTATCTTGACTCTCCTCCCTCTCTGAGACATGAGACAGGGTAGGTGGGACAAAATGACAGGGAAACAAGAACATCTGAAAATAAGGCACAGTCCAGATATGTAAGGTCCTCAGTTCAAGCCCCAACACTGACTTGTGTTAGCACACTGCCACACCATAGCACTGGCGTCTCTTCCATTGGGAGTTGTCACCGTTAGCATTCTAAAGAGAAGCTACACCAAAATGAGGTAAGGTGTTCCTTGCAAATAAGCTTTCCTTTAGAGCTATAAAACTTAACATTCCCCCCTGCCCCCGCCCTTTTTTAAAATACTTGCTCTGGGTACCGGTAGCCGCCTTCACCTGTAATCCTAGCTACTCAGGAGGCTGAGCTCTGAGAACTGTGGTTCCAAGGCAGCCCCAGCAGGAAAGTTCATACTCTTATTAAACTGGACTATTTCATTTAAACCTTTCCTAGATAAGTGGTCACATCATCTGGTAATTTTAATCACTTTTGTTTCCACATTATTACCCAAACATGAAGACAATAGGTTTTAAACTCTCCAATTAACCAGCAAAAAAGTTGGTGAGTGGAACTGTGTCTAAAGTTGTAGTGAGCTAGCTAGCCTTGAGCAGAAAACCTCAGAGACAGTGCCCAGGCCCTGATGAATTCAAGCTCCAGAAGACACACACACACACACAACCTGCATTTACTTTTTTCCAGGCCCTGATGAATTCAAGCTCCAGGAGACACACACACACACACACACACACACACACCTGATGAATTCAAGCTCCAGGAGACACACACACACACACACCTGATGAATTCAAGCTCCAGGAGACACACACACACACTACCTGCATTTACTCTTTTCTTTTACATGTTAAGCGAATTCCAGGTCTCCCTGCATGAGTAAAGGACCCCCAAATACTATAGCTGGTGAGTTAATTCTTTGACTAAAGATGACTAAAAGCAGATCCCCATGTCACTAAACCCATCTGAGTAATAGTAAGGTCACCCTAAAACCTATTGTCTTCATATTTGGGTAATAAAGTAGAAACGGTAGTGATTAAAGATTATCAGATGATGTGACCACTTATCAGGGAAAGGTTTAATGGGAAATCTCCTGTTTAATCAAGAAGGTATATATACACTTGGGATGAAGACTACCATTTTGAGCTTCTGTTCCCATCTTCATGTCAGGTAGGAGATGCTTTTCCTTCCCTTTTCTGTATCTCTCAACTTTGTCCTATTTTTATAAGCTTGCTTAACTTCCACTTTATGAGTTTTTTTGTTGTTTTCTTTTTCCTGTGTATTCTTTTAAAAATTATTTTAGGGGCTGGGAATGTGGCTTAATGGTAGACTGCTTGCCTAGCATGCAGGAAGCCCTGGGTTTGATTCCTCAGTACCATATAAACAGAAAAAGCCAGAAATGGCATTGAGGCTCAAGTGGTAGAGTACTAGCCTTGAGCAAAAGAAGCTTAGGGACAGTGTCCAGGCCCTGAGTTCAAGCCCCAGAACTGGCAAAAAGAAAAAAAAAAGTTCAAGGGACTCCGTATTAACCTGTGGCTGGGCACAGTAGCACGTGCCTCCCACTTACTGTGACACAAGAAGACACAAGTAGGAGTTAAGGCCAGCTATAGCATAGAGACTACCTTGAGATTTCAAGAGCTTGTTTGGAGGTTTTAGCAGGGGAGTGCAGCTACTTGTATACCCATGACCAAAGACTTGTCCTCCTCCACTAGGGATGTTCAACCTCTTTTATTAAGCATGCAGCTTCAGGAGGGACACACATGGAGTGGTGAGGGAGGAAGGGGACACTCATCTAGCCAACCAGATCAGCTGAATAAACCCTGGCTGTCAGTGGGGTGACAGATGGCAGAGCCAGATCTCCCTTATATCCTACCTTGAGATTTTGGTTTGAGGTTAGCCCTGGCAGGAAAGTCTGTGAAATTCTTAGTCAGTTAACCACCAAATAGCCAGAAATAGAGCTGTGACTAAAATGGTAGAGCACTAGCCTTTAGTAAAAAAGCTAAGGAACAGCCCCGTGCTCTGAGTTCAAGCCCCAGTACTGGTGCACATGCGTACGTGCGAGCACATGCGCGCATGTACAAATTTGTACTTTCTGTCCTTTGTAGATATTTTCATCTGGTTTGTTGTGCTTTGTGGGGTTTGTTGTTGTTGTTGTTGTCATTTATGTATTTTTTTGGTGCTGGGATTGAACCCAGAGCCTTAATCTTCTCTTGCAAGGCAAGTACTCTACCTCTTGCGTCACGCCTCCAGCCTCTTTTCCACTTTATTTGTTTTTTGTTCTGACTTTTTCCTATGCATATTTCTCTCCTCAAATTAGGATCCTTGAGAAAATAGTTTTGTATGCCACTATTTACAGTGTTATGCTTAAATATTATATTGCTTTAAAGTATTTTATGAATATTTTCTAGGCTAAGTATTTTGTAAATTACATACACACACACACATTTTTTTTTTTTAAGTTGGGCTTGAGTGACAGGAGCTTAGAGTCCCAGTTACTTAGGAGTCTTGGGGCAGAAGAGTCACTTTATCTCAGGAGTTTAGGACCGGCTTGGGCAACATAGTGAAAACCTGTGTCAATAAATAAAATAAACTAGTCCCCTGTGGCTCATATCTATAATCCTAGCTATTCTGGAGGCTGAGATCTGGAGGATCGAGGTTCAAAGCTAGCCTGGGCAGAAACTCCACCTCCAATTAACCAGCAAAAATCCAGAAGTGGAATTATGGCTCAATTGGTAGAGCACTAGCTTTGAGCAAAAAGGCTCAGGACTTGAGTTCAAGCCCCAGGATGATGGGCACAATAGAGAATGAGAGAGACTGAGAGGGAGAGAGATTTTAACTGCATAGTGTATATAATCTGGCAATGCACATAAACATTTAATCATAGATAGCTGTGTGTGCATGCTTGAATTCCAAGAACTTCCAAGAAAGGTGTGGAAAGGATGAATCAGTTGAGGAAGGGACCCTTGTTGCTGAAGGTTGTAGGTGTTCCCAGGTAAGGAACAAGAAAAGAATGGCCTTTCCTGGTTGCTTGTAGATAGCTACATACAGGTGGGAACCTGGTATTTTGTGTCAGTCTAAAGACCAGGCCTATCCAATAAAAGGAAGGTGAATAACAGAATGAAGCTGGAGCAGAGCTAGATTAACGAATAACTGACCTAGTAGTTGTCTGGATCATAAATTTCTGTGGGCACAGAATTAATTACACCAGAAAAATAGGCCAGTTAACTCTTGTCAAATTGTAAACTGGCCCCACCCTGCCAACAAAGACTAAAGCCACAAAGAAACAATATTCCCAGTAGTTCTCTGAGTATAGTATCTGCTACATGACACAAAGTTCTAGTTGTTGAAATTCCTTAGAATTTTAAGGAATAGTACATGATGCAAATACAGTTTTCAGGAATAAGTGCTTAATTTTGTTATTTAACTGAAAACTCTCATAATAGGTTTTTCTCAGTGTTTCTGTGTTACAAGAAATCTCCTTTCTCTCTCCCTCCCAGCCTTTTTTTCCCTCCCAATACCCAGGCAGGGCTAGGTGAGCACTCTTCCACTTAAGTTACTCCCCTTAAACCCCCCAACAACAAATCCTCAAAGAAACAACTACCCAATAAATAAGTGGGCGAAAGACTTAAAGAGAAACTTCTCTGAAGAAGAAAGAAGGATGGCCAATAGACACATGAAG